TTTCTGGAACTTTGCTCCACGCACCTGTTACGTAGTAAGGGGTAGAGCCTTAGGTATTCACCAGGGCGGGGCAACCCAGTCTGCGTTGTGATGCTGTATGTGGGAGAGTAGTCCAAAGGGGAACAGTGCTGCTTGCTCCACTCTCTGCTGGTGTTCAGTCACATCTCCTGCTACCTACAATCAAATTGGGCCCTTCTGGTGCTAATTCCTGGGTGGGTGGGTTTTCTGTACATTCTAGGACCCTGTGGGTCTCTCCAGCAAACTCTCCTGTGAGGCTGGGCATTTCTCCTGCTGCTGCCTCAACCCCCACAGGTGTTTTCAATCAGAGGTTTGAGGCTTTATTTCCATACTGGAACTCTGGGTTGCGTGTGTGTCTTGCTCCCCAGTTGTTTCTCCTGGTTTATCTGCATGCGAATGTGGAACTGCCAGCTCTGCAATCCACGGCCTTACCAGGTCCACCAGCCACAGCCTTGCCAGCCCTGGTCCACCAGCTGCTACCTTGCCTTGAATCCTCTCCGCCCGGCTGCCCTACTCTGCCCCTCCTACCTTTCTGGATGAATGTTTCTTGTTTAACTCCTTGGTTGTTGGACTTCCATACAATTTCTGTCACTTCTTGTTTTTGTTTTTAAATTTGTTCTTCTTTTGGTTGTGCGAGGAGGCATAGTGTGTCTGTCTACACCTCCATCTTGGCCAGAAGTCCTTCACACAGTCTATTTTTGATATAACAGTCAAAGAGTCTCTTGGGAGAAAGTATCGGAGAGAGTGAGGATCCAGATGAAGAGGCTCAGCATGCTGTCTGCCCACGCTGTGCCCACCCTCGGCTGAGCGGGAATGATTTCTATGAATTAAAATGAGTGTAAGCCAGGATTCTCAATGAACACATGATCTGGACCCTGTAACATGACTAAGTAATATAGACTGTGAGCTCTTCAAGATCAAGAACTATCTCATTGATCTTTACTCTTAGGAGCAAGCATATTCATCTATATATGTTAAATAGTGCTCAATAAATATTTCTTGAATGAATGAGTAAATCATTGACTCTCACAATAAATTAGGTCTCATATTAGGGGAGGAGAGGATGAAACATTCTAGATACTGTGTTATAGGTCTTTATTAAACTATACTGTGCCTTGTTAAGCTTGTTTTTATGCATATACCTTTTGTTTAGTCATTTAATTATATAGTTACAATGAGTATTTTTAAAGACTTGGTTTCAAATTAAGAAAATTTGAAGGCTATACATAATAACAGGACAGGAATGTGAAAAATAAAAGGAATTCTCTTCGTGGTGAGATTCTGGGTTTTAAACTTTTCAGATTTCTATTTTTGCTATGACAATATACTGATACATTAACAATGATAATTGGGAAAAGTGAGGTTACATTAATACCATTAATTATTTTACAGAGCCTTTACAACACTTAAATATTTGCTTGTTCATTGAAAAAGCATTTTTAGTGCTATCAACCTGCCAGAAATAATCAGATTTGTTGGATTAGAAAGTTCCATATTATAAAGATCAATAAATATGGCAATTACTATATTTCATTGATTCTGTGAAGCCTGTTTTTCCTGTTTAAATATCTGTAAAATTTGAAAACATCGTATAATTGATGGTGTATTTCAGTTAAAATTGCACCATTTTTTTTCTTAATAGTACATAAAGTAATAGAATGCCTTATATTTGATGATGCCTTATATTTGATGGTGAGGTCAAAATACAGCACCTGTATAAAGAATCACTAAATTTTAAGACCTTGAGATAAGAACCACATATAATTGATGTTGGCATTTTCCCAACACATAGTATGAAATCTCACTGAATATATTTTGTGCTAATCAGTAAAGAAGCATTTCCCTTAAAACTTTATCTTTAGAATTGAATCTTTAAATTCTATTAATTTAAAGTGCTTTAAAAAACTATTAAATAAAATTTTAATGACAGCACAGCCACCATTATTTCTTCTATTGAATAGCTTAAACCTTAATTACTTTTTTTTTTAGTTCATTACTTGTTTTCAGTCATTACAGTGTATCTTTATATGTTAGGAATTATTGGGTTGAATTTTCATTTATGATTTGGAGGTTGCTGGAGTATGTGCTTGATGGATTAGGATAAACTGACTTATTTCAGGTAAACAGGTATAGTTTTCAGTTATCTATTCTAGTAGAATGGATAATTGTAATTTGGGAATGATCTCCCAACCCTTTATTAGTTATGTTATGAGAGGTAATAATATATAGCAAAGTCACACAGATTTGCATTTTTAAACTGCATGTTTCCTTGTTAGAGAAGGTGATAATAAATACCGAAATGGCAAAAAAAAAAAAAGGCAGCAATAGAAAATAAAAGAATTTAAAGGCCTGAATAATCTACCAACTGGGTAATTTACCTCTGAGCAACTAAAAATTGGCTCTGATCTCCTGCATTGTCTCTTGAGCATTGTCTAGATTTAACTTTTATTCACTGCTGATTGAATTAAAATTTGAGATGAAATGCTTTACATCTCATTTCTATATTCATGGACTTATGAGATTCAGACACAATAAAACAATAAAGTAAGCTAAAAGTCAAGGTTAGAAAGAAGTACGTATTTTATACCTACAATCATAAAATGGAGAAAAGCTATTATAAGAGTTTCAAAAATCAATAGAAGTTGATGTTCTATAGCAAAGAAAACTTAAGACCTAGAGTCCTGCCCTCCCAGCATCACTATACAAATAAACAGAAATCAGTAGGTCTAGAAACATAAGCTATTAAAGATGCCTACTACTTTTTGATACTGAAGGCATTGTGTAGTATTATGAATCAGAAAATGTATGTAATTAAGTAGATTATATTTTTAATTTAGAAATGATTATTTTCTTTTTAGTATTCATATCTTTTATATATTTCATTATTCCATTTTGAAATAAGAATAAGTATCAAGTATAAATTTTTAAGATAACTCTTCGTATGGTTTCTAGCTTGTTACCTAAGTAGTTTTAGAAAGTCCTTTCTGTTAAAAAGATATGTAGTTCTATATTAAAATACTATAAACAGATTTTGTCAGGCTGTATTTGGCCAATTTCACATCTCCTGGGTAACCTTTTAGCTCCTATGATAGGATATGCAATCAAATGGTTTTGAAATGGGCACTAAGTATAGGAATTGTCAGAGCCAGTGAAGACAAATGTATGGGACTTTGAGTATTGACAAATTTGAACTTAAAGCTCAGTTTGGAGTGTTAAGACAAATGTTACTTGACTGAAGTAGTGAGATTTTAGGGATCTTATATAGAGATAAAATTCATTAGAACAGATACTTTCAGGGACTAAGTAACTTTTGTGCCCCAGTATATCAGTTTTTTACTTTTCCCCATTGATACATTATTGTTAACAATGTTTACTTTAATGAAAATTTTCAAGGCATACCCAGATTTTGTGAAACCCAATAACAGTCTTGTAAAGAAGTACAGGTTTTGCCCTGGCTGGTGTGGCTCAGTGGAGCGTCGGCCTGTGAACTAAAAGGTTGCTGGTTTCATTCCCAGTCAGGACACATACCAGGGTTGTGGGCCAAGTCCCCAGTTGGGGGTGTGCAATAGGCAACCAGTCAATGTTTCTCTCATACATCGATCTTTCTCTCCCTCTTTTTATCCCTCCCTCCCCTCTTTCTAAAAGTAAATGAATAAAAATCTTTAAAAAAAAGTACAGGTTTTCTAAATACAGTAGCTGCCAGTGGGGTATCATTTATCAATGTTTGTTAACTGTAAGGGACCAGATATATGCAGTTCATAGCTGGCTCTCTATAATACCACTTCTTTCTCTTCTATTTAAAAAAGCAAGCCTCAAATTCGAATTCAAATGAATGAAAGTGATGATATAGGAACAACTGGGAATGGATTTTGATTCATTAAAGAATCATTTGCAAACTTACATACTACATTATTAATGATAAATTACTTGATATGCTTACAGTGTGATTGCTATACACTACTGCTTGAGAACAATGCTTTTATCATTTTTTTGTAATGCAGTTACTGTGATAAATAATCCTGTACAACAGATTACTTTTTTTTTAATAGTTGTTTTTTTTTTTTTTAAAGATTTTTAGAGAGGGGAAGGGAGGGAGAAAGAGGGGGAGGGAAACTTCAATGTGTTGTTGGTTGCCTCTCGTACTTACCTACTGGGGACCCAGCCTGCAACTCAGGCATGTTCCCTGACTGGGAATTGAACTGGTGACCCTTTGGTTCGCAAGCCAGCACTCATTCCACTGAGCCACACCAGCCAGGGCACACACTTGATAGTGTTTGTGTCATGGATATCTTTTCTACAAAATGTAGATGATTGTTCCTTTGTATATAGTGAATGTGGGAGGTAGAGGAGAGAGAAGCTGTGACTGAGTCCATCACAGCTCTTTTTCCTGCCATGAAAAAAACTTTACCTATGAGTTTCATGCATTTTCAATAAAAAACAAAGACCCTAAAAAAAAACCCCAGACCTTCCAAACCAAGAATACAGTATTTATATAGAAAGACCAAAGAGCTGAGAAGAGTAAAGGACAGATCTTAGCCTTAAATAGCAGTTAGCATATTTTTACAGAGAAAATAATAGAAATAATTAACTTATCTAATGACATGGTTTCTTTGCTCCACTTCTAGAATATCACGTCCAATCAGTGAAGCTGTTTCTCAGTTTGGCTTTGTGTCACTTAAGTCAGGGTTTAATTATATAACTTTAAATCAAGGGAGGACTTTAAAGATCCTTTACAGATCTGCCTCATTCTTGCAGTTTATTCATTGTAACACTGTAAATGATCTTATTTATCTTTGTAACCTCAGTACCTGGCATAAAACATAGAAGGTATTCCATCAATATTTGTTAAATTAGCTTAAAGAAATTGATCTGCATAAATATTAGTTAAATCAGAATATGATTAGTAAAGTTTGGTAGTTCTTAGTAATACTAGCACTTCAATGTCACCAATGATTTTTTTTTTACTTTTCTTCTCTAATCAGATTTGCATCTGCTGGTGATGATGGACTCGTAGTTGTATGGAATGCCCAGGTGTGTATTGGTTTTGTGTGGATTGTGTAATAAAGATAAGATTTTGTAGTTGAGTATGCATTTATAAACATTATTTGGGGATATGCCTACATATTAGTAGACATACTAATACTTGAAAAGGGATACTTAGGATGAATTTATTTAAAAAGAGTACCAATACTTCATAATAATTTTTAAATTAAGATTCTTTTCCTAAGAAACAAATGCCAGGTTGTGAAAATAAATGTAATTTTACTGAACAAAACTTATCAATAACTATGTAATGATTCTGAAAATGAATCAGATACTGATTTTTGTGACTTTTTTCAAAATTGTATAATTGCATGATATAACATACTTCTCATATTTGAATTTAATAGAAATATAGTAAAAGGTTTATTTTTAAAAACATTTTTAAGGCTTCACCAAGTTTCTCTTGAGGCCTCTCTTCCTGATCCTTTGATACTCAAGTTACTCTATTTTGAAGTATTTATCTTTTCTCGTTATCTGACAGTGGCTTTGCCTGTGGTTAAAGGCGTTAACACTATATTCCCTGCATTCCTGAAATCTTGCAACATTGGAAAGATTTGCAGTTTGTTCTATTTGCATTGTATTTTAGTATGTCTACTACTTGGGAACTCTGTGAGTGACTAATGGATGAAAATACTGGAGGGTGTGGATAGCTGTCGCTATTACATAGAAATGGAGTGCAGGGAGGCTCACTTTGTGAGTGGTTGATACATATTGGATATAGATATATTTGTTACCGTTGTTACACTTTTTTACCTTCTACAACCTTATATCTGTGGAGACTTAAGTAACAAATACTTGGATAATGAGGACTTTATATTTTTTTCCTGCAGATTAAGTGACTGATATTTTAATGCTTAGTTTATCCAATTATATCCTTAAAATCATATGGCAAGAATATTCCTTTAAATTTTCTATGAAATATGCTAGAATTTGTATCTCCTATAAGAAAATAAATAAAATTGTTTATGGCTACTCCTTCAGCACCTGTTTAGATTATGTTTGGATTGCTTAAAGTTAAATTATGAGATCTAAGTAATTTCAAGTAGAATGTATGTATTTTCTACATGGTGATTCTTCTTAGTGTTGTCACTTAAACTTATTTAAATTGTGAAATATGAACCTGTTAATATTTTCATTGGTATTTCAGACAGGAGAAAAACTTTTGGAACTCAATGGACACACTCAAAAGATAACAGCTATTACTACATTTCCTTCCTTGGAAGCATCTGAAGAAAAAAATCAGCTTATCTTGACAGCCTCTGCTGATAGAACAGTTATTATATCCTTAAATCTGGAAGAGTGAAATACCAGTAGTGACTCAAGGGACCAGTATATATATGATTAGTTTTTAGCCTATTGAGGCCTGTTTTGGCAAAAATGATTTTGTTCTAGCTTTCACAAAAATTTCTTAAAAGCATTAGGCATCTGAAAAGTATTACAGTGGAAATTAGACTTATTATTGATGGAAACCCCATGACCTAAACTGTTCTTTCCAGAGTTACTATTATATTTATTTATATAAAATGGAGGAAATGGAGAAAGTGGGCTTAAAAATATTATCTCAGTTTGCTTTTTAATTTAGGGAAATAAAAATCAGTCACATTGTAAAATCATTTACTTTTTTTCCCTACTTATTGTACAGGGAAAAAAAGTTAATAGCCCCAATCCATAAGAGCCTTTTGAACACCCAGTCTGACAGAAAAGTAAATTACCATTAACTAAGTATTTAATACTATTATTTAGTATTTTAAAATAGTTTAAAAAAATATGTTACCTTTCTTTCTCCCTTACTTTTAGGTAAAATTTTAAGATGTAATGGCATTAGTAAGGTTTTATAAAGTGCTTACATGAGCCAGGCATTGCTCCATTTTATATATATCAACCCATTTAATCCTTACAGTAAGTGTTTTTATCCTCATTTATAAATAACAGAGGCAAAGAGAGGTTAAGTAACTTGTCCAAGGTCACACAACCAGTATAGTCTGGATGCAGAGCAGAGTTCTGAACCACTATATAATAGTATTGCCTTCATAAAATATTTTCCCTAAACAAATTCAGTCCTTTAATATTTGTATGAGGAACCGGATTTGTGAAGGCCATAGCCAAATGCTACGGAGAACTCTAATCTCTTATTTTTTTTTAATTTAAAGCTATCATAGATTAGCTTGAAAAAACCTGTGCTCATCTGAAAATTCTGCTTAAATAGCTTCAAGCATTAGTGAGGTAAGTTTTGGAGTAAGCCCAAAGGAATCAGCAGTTCTCAGGCTTCTGTAAAGCCAAGGCGTACTTTATGACATACTTAATACGGCATTATCAGCTGAAATAATTTACAGACAGATTGTTCAAAGATCACCACCTCAAATCTAAATTTAAAATTGCTGAAAAAATTTAGATTGCTTCCCAGTCTGAAATTTAGATTGCTCCCCAATTGAAAACAAAATTGCTCAAATAAATAAGTGGTAAATTTTGTGGATTACAGTATTATGTAAATAGGGACATAAAATTCACTCATTTTTAGGTCAGAGTAGCTTTATTGCTACTGCGCTATTGAGGCAAATATTTTATGGACTAAAGCTCTATTTTTTGTTTGTTTAGTTTTCAGTATCAGTATAATCTCTGCAAAACAATTAATATGCATTTTTTTAAATTAGACCATTCCTACGGAACTACAATAATATTTAGAGTCAGTTATTAAAGTTACAATTACAGTACAGAGATGAGTAGTTGGGATAGTATCAATATAAATTTTACCTGTAAATGATAGTATAGACTCTCTTCCTTTGCTGAATGACTTGAAAATAATTCTAGGCTTCTTTGTTGGTAGTTCTTTTATTCAGGTGAATTCTCAGATAACTCAGCTTTGGCCTTTACTATTAACTAACTTCATTAATTAAATGCTAACTTCATTAATTAAATGCTTCATTAATTCCCAAGTGATAGTCTTAAATGTTTGTATATACATATACATTTACTATGTAAACGTGTTCTCAGACATGATGTAACATGAGTATTTTACCATAGGAAATGGTGTGAAAAATTTGAAAATCATCATGTTCTTTATGTCAGACTGACCTTGGGCATTTTTTGATAGGTCCTCTAACTATTTTAAACATATATACAGGTAATAGGAATATACTGTTACTGTCTTTTTTTTTAATTAAAGATTTTATTTCTAGAGAGACGGAAAGGGAGGGAGAACTAGAGGAAGGGAAACATTGATGTGAGAGAGAAACATTGATCAGTTGCTTCTTGTATGTGACCCAACTGGGGACCAAACCCGAAACCTAGGCATGTGCACTGACTGGTAATCAAACTGGTGTCCTTTTGCTTTTCAGGATGATGCCCAGCCACGCTGGTTAGGGCCGTTACTGTCTTTTTTGAATCGGGATAACAGTAGTAGGTTATGCCATGCACGTTGAGAGAGCTTTCAGTAAATATTAATTAATGGATATATTAACTTTTAATATAAACACTTTATGTTAAATGCTTATTAGATTATGATAGACCATTTTGGAGAATAACCCTTAAAATTTAAACTTGGAATATCTGATGCTTGTAAAGACTTAGTTTTCAGATCATCCTTTCTGTTGGCATTTTCAAATAGTTAGTAAAATTTACCTGAAATTTATTTTAGATTGTAAGCTGCTATGCTTAGTTGATAATTCACTATATGAGTTAATTTTTGAAGTATTATAAACTCGTCATATTTTATGCTTTATTTTCTGTGTGACATTTGTGAATTATTAGGAAAGTTAATAATAAGATTTGAAAATTCTGTTTAGAAATTAATTCTTAACAGAAATATAGGTATGGAATTGTGATACTGGCAGACAAATTCAGAAAGTATCGTGCTTCCAGTCGACTGTAAAGGTAAAATCTTAAGCAGATATTTTATGATGGTAATCTTTTTGTATGAGAAAAAACTATTTAGTAAGTTTGATGAAATTACCTTTGTGGGTTTTAAAAATTATTCCTTCCAGATGTAATTACAGTTACTTGATTCTCCTAAGCATTAGGTTTTTACTAGTCTATATCTTAAATGCTAGGATATTTGACTTTGAAATTAGAGCAAGGGGCAAATCTCTGTAGCAAGATAAGGAAAAGGTAGTACCTAGTTTGTTTTTAGGGGGTAATTGTAGAAAGCGGCATTGCTTGCAGAATGACTCTATAGCAGCAGCTAGTCTCTTTCTTTATATTGTACTTGGAACTAAAAACTTGGAGTTATTTGTCCCTCGCACTCTGCTTTCTGTAAGGTCATACAGATAAGACATGTCCATTACTTAATTCCAAACAGAATTTTATGGAGCTAAGTGGTTGCTACTATTTTCATTCATTATACTATTATTAATTAGGCCTTATTACATGAAAGGAACTCTTCTACATGTTGGAGAAACAAACTTGAATAACACTTGATTACTTTGATTCCTACAGAAGAAATTACCTTAAATGTTCTAAGAAAGTATCACTGTTTTTCAATAATGTCAGCAAGTTTGGGGAAAGATAGTAATGTCAAGTAATGTTTCCTCATTTCCTTTAAAGATAACTGATCTCTAAATTGGAGCCAATGCTTAAAAAATGTAAAGAGAATTGTTCTGTGCCAATAGTCAATGTATTTTTTTTTCCTAACAGGCAGTATCTCTGGTAGCCATCTCATGCTATGATGCTCTTCTAATTATTAGTAAAGTTTATGGGCAAGGAAGTACCATTTACTGTATGCTTGTATCCAATTTAACAGTGTACTGTCTTTGAAGAATTGAATTCATCAAATCTCTATGCTTTATATGATCTGAAAGATCCCCCTTTTAAATTCCTTTAAAAATACTCTTGCTTTCAGTCTGAGCTCATTAGATTTCAGACAAAACACATGAACTGAAGGTGCAGGGAAGGGGAAAAAATTTAGTATATTGGGGAAATTTTTTTTGTGAGCTGTTATTTCATGGACTGTTCAATAAAATTCCAGTCTGGTGAAAGTATTTTATAAGGGGCTTTTACTGTAATATTAATTAGCCAGATAGTTGTATTTACTCTTGCTATGATCCTGTTTCACATTAAAAATTGTTAAAAATAGCACTTCGCTTGCTTTAGTTCAGTGGTTAAATTGTTTTTGAACAAATAATTTATTTAAAAAATTCAGATCTCTAATACATATAAGGAATACTATTAATTTATTTTTTGAACCAGTGAAGTTTTTATAAGGGTTGGTATTAGTAAGGAGGTGGTGAAAATTGGCATTTTTATTGCTGTTGAGAATATAAATTGATATGATCTTCTGGAAGGTAGTTTGGTATTATGAATAAATCTAAAAAATGATTACATGAATGAACACAGAGATTCAACTTCTAGAAAACTCTCAAGGAAATAATAAACTGGGGCAGAGATTTATGAATAGAAATGTGTATTACAAATATATTTTATAAATGGATGATTGGCATTATCCTAAATGTCTTACAACAAAATAGTTAAATATGGTAGATAATATATACTAAAAATGGCATTTTATGTCATTTCATTTCATTTCATTGCCAGTTTATTTTGTTCATTAAATGATTCCACATATAGGGAGATCATATAGTATTTGTCTTTCTCTAACTGGCTCCTTTCTTTCTTTTCTTTTTTCTAAATTTTGACACTATTATAGTAGATATGATATTTTAGAAGAATACGTAAAGAGTTTGGAAAATTCTAATGATAAAATCTTAAGTAACAAAAGCAGTGTATTATTCTCCACAAAATGCTAGCAGACTAAATCTAGTAACATATAAAAAGGATATACACCATGACCAAGTGAGGTTTATTTCAGAAACAGTTTAGTTTAATATTTTGAATAATCAGTCAATGCAATATACCATAGTAAGAAAAAAGTACAGAAAACAGGATCATCTCAGTAGATGTGGAGAAAGCGTTTGGCAGACTTGAACCCCTCATGATAAAAATACTCAGCTAACTAGGAATAGATGAGAACTTCCTCAGCCTTATAAAGGGCATCTATGAAAGTCCACAGCTAACATTGTATTAACGGTGAAAGACTGACTGGATACTTTCCCCCTGAGGTCAGGAACAAACAAGGCATTTCTATTTAATGTTGTACTGGAGCTTCTGACCCAGGGCAATTAGGCAATAAAAAACAAAAGGCATCCACATTGGAAATGGATAAATAACACTGTCTCTATTCACAAGCAACATGATCTTTTATATAGGAAATCCTATTAGAACTAATAGGTGGATTTAGCAAAGTTTCAGGATACATTATCAGTATACAAATTAATTATATTTCTATATACTAACAGTGAACATTCCAAAAATGAAGTTAAGAAAATAATTCATTTACAATAGCATCCAAAAGAGTAACATACTTAGAAATAAATTTAAGAAGTAATAGGTGACTTGTATATCAAAACTACAAAACATTGTTGAAAGAAACTAAAGAAAATTTAAGTAAACAGAAAAACGTCCTATATTCATGGATCAGATTTAATATGGTTAAGATTTCAACACTAGCCTATCTACAGGTGGGACACAGTCTTCACCCAAAGCCAGTAGGTTGTTTTTCTTTCTTTCTTCTTTTCCTTCCTTTCCTTCCTCGATCCTAAAATTCATATAAAGTGCAGAGGACCCTAGAATAGCTGAAACAATCTTGTTTTGAAAAGAAAGAAAAAAGTCACAAGATGCAAACTTCCCAATTTGAAAATTTATTACAAAGCTGTAGTCAATCAAGACAGTGTGGCACTGGTGTAAGGATAGACACACAGTTCAATGGAATGGAATTTAGAGGGCAGAAATAAAACCTTGCATATATGGTCAGTTGGTTTTTGACAAGGCTGCCAAGACCCTTTAATAAGAGAAAGACTAATCTCTTCAACAAATAATGCTGGGTCAACTGGATGTCCACATATGAAATAATGAAATTGCATCCCTACTTTATGCCTTGTCCAAAAATTAATTCCAAGTGGATATAAGACAAATATGTTGGAACAGAAACTATAAAACTTTTAGAAGAAATATAGGAATAAATCTTTGTGACCTAGGGTTAGGAATCTTAGATATGACAGCAAAAGCACAACAATAGAAGAAAAAAATGAGAAATTGGACTTCACCAAAATGAAAAGCTTTTATGCTTCAAAAGACATCATCAAGAAAGTGGAAGACGACTCACAGAATGGGTGAAAATATTTACAAATCATATACCTGATAAGGAACTTGTATCCTGAATACATGAAAAATTCTTACAACTCAGAAATAAAAGGGCAACACAATTAAAAATAGACAAAGAAGTTGAAAGACATTTTTCCAAGGAAGATATGCAAATGGCCAATAAGCACATGAAAAGAAGCTTAGCGTCATTAGACAGAGAAATGCAAGTGGAAACCATAATGTGATACTATTTCATGTATATTAGATGGGTAATACCTAAAAGACATAATTATTGTTGATAAGGATATCTCTATCCCTTATAGAGATATTGGAATTCTGTTGGGATTGTAAAATGGTATGCCCATCTTGGAAAATAGTTTGATACTAAAAATGTTAGAGTTATTCATTTGACCCAGCAGTCTCTTATGTATTCCCAGGAGAAATGAAAACGTGTGTCCATGTAAAAACATGTACATGAGTTGGAACATATTTTATAACCACCAAGGAATGCATAAAACTTCTAAACTGACATACATTTCACATGAATTTTGCAGTGTTTAACTGTTCTTCAGAGACTAGATGTTTGGCTCTCTGGTGGGAATGACCTGTGTGTGTGGAATCGAAGATTAGATCTCCTGTGTAAGACTGGTCACCTTTCTGATACAGGTAAAAAAATCAAGGTAATCATGATTCATAGACTCTGAAAGACGCAGTGAATCTTTAGAGACTTTCCATGAGCAAAGAAGGGGAATTTGTAGTTATGAGTATAACATGTAGCCATATTTCTCCAATTTGGTTAATGGTTGTATAAAATATACAAATATTTCCATCCCAAATTGGAAGGGGAAGACTCCCTTTTGGCTTCCAGCAGAATTTCTCAGAAGTGCCTTGACCAGCGTGGCTCAGTTGGTTGGGCATCATCCCGCAAAGCAAAAATGTTGCCAGTTTGATTCCCAGTCAGGGTGCATATGAGAGGCAACTGATCGATGTTTCTCTCTCACATCAATCTTTCCCTCATTTTCTCCTTCCCTTCCCCTCTCTTTAAAAATAAATAATTTTTTTAAAGAATTTCTCAAAAGTGGTCAAGAAGAACCTTTTCATATATGCTCATGGACCATGTTCTTAAACTGAGTTTGATGAACATGTTGATACCTGCAAGGGTTGAATGTCTGCCTACAAACTGAAAGGTCACTGGTTTGAGTCCCACTCAGGGCAATGCCTGGGTTGTGGACCAGGTCCCTGGTTGGGAGTGTGCAAGAGGCAACCAATTGATGTTTCTCTCACACATCAATGTTTCTCTCCCTCTTTGTCTCCCTCTCTTCCCTTCTTTCTAAAAAATAAAAATTATAATCTTTAAAAACAAAATTTTGAAGCCAGGCTGACTTCTCTTCTCTTGCCGTGAAAGTACTGGACAGCATCCTCCAATAGAAGGCTGTTTAATTGCTAATCTGCTGTTTAGTGTAGCCACCTTCATTACTTATCTTAGCTAGATCTTCTGGATAACTTCCTGCAGCTTCTACATCAGCACTTGTTACTTCACCTTGTACTTGTATGTTATGAAAATGGCTGTCCCCCCTTACACCTCATGAACCAACCTCTGCTAGCTTCAAACCTTTGTTCTGCAGCTTCCTCACCTCTCTCAGCCTTCATAGAGTTGAAGAGAGTTAAGGGCTTTTCTCTGGGTTAGACTTTGGCTTAAGGGAATGTTGTGGCTGGTTTGATCTTCTCCCCAGACCATTAAAACTTTCTCTGTATTAGCAATAGGCTGTTTTGCTTTCTTATTAATTGTATGTTCACTGGAATAGCACTTTTAATTTTCTTCAAGAACTTTCCCTTTGCATTTCATAACTTGGCTAACCAGTACAAGAGGCCTGGCTTTCAGTTTTTTACATGTCTTCCTCACTAATCTTAATCATTTTTAGCTTTTGATTTAAAGTGAGAGATCCATTACTCTTCCTTTCACTTGGACACTTAGAATCAGTTGTAGGGTAATTAACTGGCCTAATTTCAGTATTGTGTCTTAGGGGATTGGGAGGCCAAGGGCAGGAAGAGAGACAGGGAATGGCTGGTTGGTGGAGTCAGAACATGCACAACATTTACAGATTAATGTTGTCTTACCTGGGGCACCCCCAAACAATTACAGTAGTAACATCAAATATCACTGGTCACAGATCACCATAACAAATACAATAATGAAAAAGATCCAGATATTGGGAGAATTACCAAAATGTGACACAGAGACATGCGGTGAGCAAATGGTGTTGAAAAAATTGTGCTGACAGACTTCCTCAGTGCAGGGTTGCCACAGACCTTCAGTTTGTAAAACGGAGAGAAAAAGCCCACAATACTTGCGAAGTTCAGTAAAGCAAGTGCAAAAAAACAAGGAATGCCTGTAACTATGTCATGAAATACTGAAATTAGGGCTAAAAATAATCTTTTGTGTGTTAATGAAAATAATTATTGTTGTAATCTCCCATTATTTTGCAAGGTACCTTTGAGTACTGTTCATTCAGTAGTCAGAGTAATGTCCTGTTTATCAGTGACTCGAGATAGCAGAATTCTTTGAGAGAATCTATTGGAAAGCTTTGAAAAGACCACATATGTTACCATTGGTGAGCTTTTTGTGATTTGTGTTTTCCAACTTACAGGGTTCCTTGTAGTTAGCAGTGCTTGCTGTTAGAACATTATTTCATGAAACTCCTTTCATAAGCCTTGTTTCTTGTATGGGCTAGCAGGGCTTTTATTCCATATTTGGAAATAAGCAAAGCTACTCTTAGTATGATGCAGTGGAAAGAGCCTTGGACTAAAAGACAGGGCATCCATGCCTTTTCCAGTAATAAGTTCTGTGATTCTGTATATTAAGTTGCCACTTCTGAATTATTGACTTTCCGTTATTTTCACTTCACAGGTAATTTGATAAGCATTTTTTAATGAACTCCCCTGCATATAGAATTCTCTTCTTTGTGCTCTTCCTGTGCTTTCGTCTCTCTTTCACTTTTTTATCTTGTGCCACTAACTCTTCGTTTTTGCCCTCCTCTACCATCACCTCCTCCTTGAATTCGGGAACTACAAAACATACTGTTAAAACAACCCTATGTGGAGAAAAGATTTCAGAGAGAATTACTCCCCAAACGGCAAGAGTACTAGTCTTTTGATGGGTGAGAAGGTAAAGCAAACAAGTAGAGTATTTTCCTAATTTGCATTTCATGATTCAGCTATAATCATTTCATAATTCAGCTATAAAAAGGTACTTGGAACTCTGTGTTTAAATAGATAAGTGAATTATGGTGGAATGTTGAATAAGATTATTCCAGTAATACAAGGAATTTTGTAAGTGTGTTAATTGATTATAAACCAGCTATTTAAAAGCCACTTTCTTAGCTGTTGACTTGTTGGCTAACTCATTTACTGCCAGGGAGCCCATTCTGAATTCTTAAATTTACATTAAGGAAAATGTCAGTTTCACATCTCATTTGAGCAATGGTGATTATCTTAAGGGATCCATGGTAAATAAGTTCACCATAATAGTAAAAATGTTCAAAGAGTATATTCTACCTTTAATAGATCAATAATGTCTTCCAAAGGTCTCACCTACATTTTTTTTTAATTCTCACCCGAAGATATGTTTATTGATTTGAAAGAGAGAGAAACATCAATTGGTTGCTGTACGCTATCTGACTGAGGATCAAACCCACAAACTTTTGGTGTATGGGATGACACTATAGCCAATTGGGCCACTTGGCCAGGCAGGGCTCACCTATTTTCACAAAATCATTTTCTGTGTATAAGCAAGTGTGACATGGTAAATTGTGTGTGCTTTATTGTGACTACTCTTTTTTATAGTAAATGATTGACATAAAACTGAGAATGTTTTTGTTTTACGTGTAATACATGAAGAAAATAATTTGTTTATATTTTTATGTATTTTTGAAGGGATCAGTGCTTTAATTGAAATACCTAAGAATTGTGTCGTGGCAGCAGTTGGCAAAGAACTGAGTGAGTGTGACTTTTTTTTTCTATTTTTAAAAAATTTATTAAACTAGAACTTGTACATGCATTTTGGTAAGACTAAGTGGTATTTTATTTAAGGGACATCTACTCTCACCCCAGTGTTGGCCTCCTGGGATTGTTGAAGTGATATGGAGACCTAGACAATTTCAAGATGTTAGGTCAGTTTTTGTACTGCCCTTGTTCTAACATAGCCAAGTGAGGCAAGGTAACCCATTCCTCTTATGCCAGAGAAGGCCATTTACATCCCATAGCTCTCTTTGTTGCTGATCCATACTCTTACACTTACTTAGCAAAAAAAATTAACCATGTAAAGCGACCGTCATCATTTTGGAAACTAAAACTCTGAGTAGGGAGGATTGGAGGAGAATTATTTGGGGAATTCACTGAGGTAGAAACTGTGGAGTTTTTGCCTCAGGAAGCCAGAATGGCGCCCATTTTCTTTGGGGGAGTTTATGCCATTTCTTTAAGAGCAGTGAGATAGCATAAGAAAAAGGGTAGCAGGTGGAATTCTGTAGATATATTGATTATGAACATTCGAAGGCCACCTTCTTAGCTTTTGACTGTTGGCTAAAGTTCATTTACTGCCAGGGAGCCCACTGTGAAGGAAGCGTTTTGTGTTTAACTGCCTTGGGAATGGAATTTGAGTGCCAAAATTATTAGAGTAAATATGCTTCTTAAAAGCTACTTCTTTCTTGAAGAATTTTTCTGATGTAGCCCAGAGGGCATTTGATATTGCTTGTGGTACGTCTTCCAGAGACCAGCCCTGAGATTTGCTTTGACAATCACTTGGCATGTTTGCAAATGCCAGTGAGACATGAGCTAATTGTTCACCATTTATTACCTACCTGCATGTTCTGCTGCTTTGCTGCAGTTTCTCTTTCTTCAACTGACCTTTCTGTGTGTATTCATGTTTGAGAAGTACTTTTCTAGACCCTGTGCCTATCCTCTCTTTTCATAAAGTAGTTTCTGTAAGTATGATACTTTTTGGTTTAGTTTCTTTTCCTTTGCCCTCCTTGCAGAAATGTTTTCCCATATTCATTGAGCTGCAGTGATGCTTGGCTTTTTCTCTTGCCTTTCTTCTCTTGTAGCTGATCAATCACTTTGTGTTCTTAGTTTTACTTTAACTTAGTGGTTCTCAAAGTTTAGTGTACATTAGAATGACCTGAAGGTCTTGTTAAAAATACAAATTACTGGGCCTTACCCCCAGAGTTTCTAATACAGTAAGTCTAGACTGGGGCCTGAGCTCTGCAGTTCTGACAGGTTCCCAGGTAGTGCTGGGGTTGCTTGTCTGCAGACCATACTTTGAGGACTGCTGCTCTAAATATTTTGATCTTTTTCTTTCCACCTCACTAGCATTGCTGTATTCAGGCTCTCATCTCCTTTCTTGTCTGAAATGTTGGATTAAGTCTCCTACTTAAAATCTTTCCTCCTCTGCTTTAGTGCTTGCCAAATGCCTACTGTTCCTAGAGTTTAGTGATCCTCAGATATATTCTTCAGTAGATGCTAGAGAGATCTATCTAAAATGCAGGCCACCCCCCTGCTTAAAAGCTTCAGTGGCTTCCTCTGTCTAAAGCAATCATTTCTAGACTCGTATTTCTGACTAGTACAGAAGTTCGGATTTTTGGAGATCAGCATAGAGTTGCCAGAAAAAAAAAAGAAAAGGACTTTAAATTGAATATATTTACTTTTATGTGGCCCCTTTTTTCCTCGTTTTTGCCACTGATGAATGAAATCTTTGTCCTAGAGGACCAATGTAAGTTCATCACTACCCTACACAATAAAGTCCAAACTTTTCAACATATCAAACCAGGTATCTTATTATCTCCCTCCTGCCTCTTTTGCATCCTATATCACCTGCTTGTCAATACTGAATTGCCTGGGAGTCCCCCACCTGAGGCGTTCTCACCTTTATGCCTTTATTTCTGCTGTAACCCTGTATCAGGTTTGTCCTCCTACTGATTGTCCTCTTTGAACTGGCTAATTCCGACTTATTCTTTAACAGCTCAGTGCCAGTATCATTTTTTTTTTTCCTTAGGAAAAAGACTTGCTTACCTAACACTTCTCCTCCCAGAAGTTTTTCCACTGTGTTGTCATAATCTCATGTCTGTCATTTCACTTACTGCCTTTTTTTTTAAAAGATTTTATTTATTTATTTTTAGAGAGGGAAGGGAGGGAGAAAGAGAGAGAGAGAAACGTCAATGTGCAGTTGCTGGGGGTCATGGCCTGCAACCCAGGCCTGTACTCTAACTGGGAATCAAACCTGTGACACTTTGGTTCGCAGCCCAAGCTCAATCCACTGAGCTACGCCAGCCAGAGCTCACTTACTGCCTTTTAAAAAGGCTTCTGTTTGCTTTTTGTTCTCTCCTTGCCCCTTGAGCTCCTTGGTGATTGGAACTTTCTTATTTATCTTTCTGCTAATAGATTAGGGATTTTTACTGAATGCTTGAATGAATTAGTGAATTCATTAAAATACTAATAAAAGCAACACTAAGGCCTCAACTGGTTAGAGTATCATCTAAAAAAAGAAGTAAAAGTTGGTTTTAGTCAGAAAGTAGTTTATACAAATACATAATACTCTAAAAAAGAAGGTTCTGCAGTTTACTTAGTTTTATAACAAAATAAATATATAGTGCTATTTTTCCTTATGGAAAAATAAATTTTATTCCTGTAAATGGAGTATCTTTTTCTGTTTCCAAGACCAAGCTCATGCCCATATCCTTGGTTTTAAATGTTCCATTCCAGTTTCTCTTTTTCTATGTGAGGGCTCCTTTCAAAAGGAAATACAATTTTTTGTAGTCTCTCCAATATTGTTTTTTCTAAAGATTTTATTTATTTACTTTTTAAAGTATATTTTATTATGTTATTACAGTTACCTGATTTCCCCCTTTCTCCCCTCTTCCCAATACCTCACTTTCCAGCAATCCTACCCTTTAGTTGATATGATGAAGATAACTAAAGATATGATGATGGGTGACGCATATAAGTTCTTTGACTTCTGCATTTTTCCAGTAGTATAGGACCTGTACTATTTTTAACCTGTCTATTTTGTACCTACCAATTATGCTTTTTCATCCCTACACCTTTTCCCCCATTCTCCCTTTCCCCACTCCAGCTGATAGATAACCCTCCAAATATTCTCCATACCTATGTTCCTTTCCTGTTCTGGTTGTTTGCTTGGATTTGTTTTGTTTGGGTTTTTAGATTCAGTTGTTGATAGTTGTGAATTTGTTACCTTTTCAATATTTATAGTTTTGATCTTCTTTTTCTTAAATAAGTACCTTTAACATTTCATGTAATAATGTCTTGGTGATGATGAACTCCTTTAGCTTTACCTTGTATGGGAAACACTTTATCTGCCCTTCCATTCTAAATGGTAACTTTGCTGAAAGAGTAGTCTAGCTTATAGGTCCTTGCTTTTTATCACTTTGAATACTTTTTGCCAATCCCTTCTAGTCTGCAAAGTTTCTTTTGAGAAATCAGCTGAGAGTCTTATGGGAACTCCTTTGTAGGTAACACTCTGCTTTTCTCTTGCAGCTTTTAAGATTCTCTCTCTTTATTTTTAACCTTTGGCATTTAATTATGGTGTGTCTTGATGTGGTCCTCTTTGGATCCAGCTTGTTTGGGACTCTCTGTGCTTCCTGGACTTGTATGTTTATTTCCTTTGCCAAATCAGGGAAGTTTTCTTTCATTATTTTTTCAAATAAGCTTTCAGTTTCTTGCTATTCTCTTTCTGGTACCCCTATGATTTAGATGTTGGCATATTTGGAGATATCTCAGAGCCTTCTTATACTATCCTTGTTTTTTTCAAATTCTTGTTTCTGCTTTATATTCTGGTTTAATGTTTATTTCTTTGTTATGTTCCAAATCATTAATTTGAATCCTGGTTCCTTCCCTTCCTTCCCTGGAGATTTTTCTTTATTTCACTTACTGTATGTAACCTTCATTTCTTCCTTTATGTTTTTGCTGTACTCAGTGAGTTCTTTGAGCATCTTGATCACCAGTGTTTTGAACTCTGCACCAGATAGATTGGATATTTCTGTTTGGTTTAGTTCTTTTTCTGGGGTTTTGTTCTATTCTTTAATTTGAGCCATATTTCTTTGTCTCCTCAATTTGGCAGCCACTTTGTGTTTGTTGCTGTGTATTAGGTAGAGCTACTTTGATTCCCTGTAAACAGCACCTATAAAATGTGTAGGGTAGAACCTTAGGTAATCACCAGGGTGGGGCAACCCACTTTACCTCTTTATAGCTCTGTGTGGGGAGAGGGCTCAGAGGGGACTGTGCCACTACCTGGCTTCTAGAGTTTTGCCCCGCACTCTCCCCATTTGCAGTCACTTCACCCACTCCCAATATGTGACTGGCTCTTTTTCAGCTGTTCCTTGGTGTTGAATCCTACAGTGGTGGGTTTGCAAACATTTTAAGACTACGTGGGCCCTTTAAGTGAAGTTTCCTGAAAATCTGGCAGTTTCATCTGCTGCCTCAACCCCCACTGGTTTTTACAGATAAAAGTTATAGGGATTTATCTTCCCAGTACTGGACCCCTGGGCTGTGCTGTCTGGTGTGGGGCCGGGATTGCTTGCTCCCCAGGTATCCCTCCTGATTTTTATCCAGCACATGTAGTTGTGGGACCACCACTGCTGCTGCCACCTGTCTGTGCAACACTGCATCTCCTTGCCTCTCTGCCTCATCTCTGCATCTCTGCCCCTCCTACCTGTCTAGATGATTGTGGCTTCTTTAAATACTTGGTTGTTGCACTTGAATACAGTTCAATATTCTGACAGTTCTGGGTGTTGTTTGTCTTGAGATTTAGTTGTAATTCTTTTTGCGGTTGCATGAGGAGGCGAAGTGTGTCTACCTATACCTCTATCTTGACCGGAAGTCCAGGAAGTATAATTTTTGTGTGCACCAGCTTTAGTGACTTTGAAGCTTTACTAGTTAAGCAAGACTGTCAGCACTGAGATGTCATCCTGGTTCAGAGGCTTGGATTTTCTTCCTAACCCCTTTTTTAGAATTAGCTATTGCTTCCCTTTTGTTCTCTGATTTAATTCATATTTTATTATTATTTATTTTATTTTATTTAAATTATTACTTGTGTATTGAGGCCATATTTATGGATTCACTAAACAGTTTCATGCTATCTTTAGTACTTTGTTGCTCTTTGTAGAAACCTGTTCTGTAGGTTTGTTTTTCTTGTCTCTGTTAGTTTGATGAAACAATTAATTGCTTTTTATTCCACAATTCCAACTTCAAGGTTATTTGATAGTATTTCAACTGAAGTAGAATTTTCACACAATTTTGAGAGGTATGAGGAAGAGTCACTTTGTGTTGACCAAAATACCCTTTTCTTTTGACAGCCACAGTTTGAATGTAAATGGCTTACAGGATTAAACAGCCTTGCTAGAGATTTGTCCATTGATAAAAATCTGTCCAGATGAAATGTGGTACTGACTTACTTTCCAGGGAGGAATGTGAGAAAGAAGAGAGACTTTAAGAATTAGCCAACCACTTGGAAAAGATATGTGTGACCTCTGAGACCTTTCCACTTCTGAGATATTGGTTATCCTAATCATAAGCATCTGCAGCACTGGGTAGAGTGGCAGCTTATTATAGCACTTTTGTATCTATTGTAAGCTTGTTTATAGTCTCACTACTGCTCTAGGCTGTGAGTGTTTCTGGGCAGTGACTGGGCCTTATTCACATTAGAGATCTAATTTCCTGGAGCATAGTAGATGTTTAGTAAACGTTTGTTGATTGAATCACTCTAGTTGATTCAATTTTGGGTTTTCTGTATTGATTAAAGTTAGGATTTATATTAATTTAAATAAAACTATTTGTTTAAACTCAGATAATGAGTAAAGAAACACATTGTAAATCTGTAGTCAAAAGAACTGTATGACACACAAAAATTATAAGGCATATTCACCTCAGAGGAATTATAATTTAATGGTTGGTATATGCCTAGGTATCAAGAAAAGTTTAAAAAAATAAAAGCAGCTACTGAAGTCTTCTCTGAGTTGAAGTTAAACATAAATTTGTAGCCTGTTTTGCAGCAATGCTTGCTGGCTTGAGACCATGAGTAGAGAAAGCTGATGATGGACATGCTTCAGGGATGTGGGCCAGTCATTGGCCAGGGAGAGAAGGAGGCGGGATAGCCAGGCTGCACAGGAACCCTGGAAAGGATTGGGGCTTGATGGTTGGTAGTGGAATTAGAGGAGTTTCAATAAAGGAACAGAGTTCTAAGGACACACTCGGGATTTTAGTAGGTCATTTCAAACATCTCAAGCATTTGAAAGAACTGTTTTAAAGTAGTATGAATAAGGCCTTCTTTGGAGGTGGGTTTTCAACATGTTAGACGTTCTTAACTTAATGAAATGCTGGTGTTTTGAGCAGAAATAGAATTTTATCTTTTTTGACCATTTTAATAAAATTATATCTGTCTTCATTTAGTAATTTTCAGGTTGGTAGCACCCACAGAAGGATCACTAGAATGGGACATTGTTGAAGTTAAGCGCCTTCTTGATCACCAGGATAATATTCTCTCATTGGCTAATGTCAATGGTAAGTTCATTGTGTACATGCTTATATTATGTAAAATTTTGTGCTTGTTAATGTAACCTGTTATGAGCTTCCATCTTGTTCTAGGATTTTTAGAATTATCATTAAAATAATGCTTTTGACTAGTAGAGATTAGCAATCTCTTACATGTGAAATTCAAGCCAGTGGAACTGATCAAGTTTCACAGATTGCTAGGGTAAGATTTAGGCACAAGGAGAATAGAGTGAGGCAGAGAGAAGCGATGGAGGAGAGCTTCATTATCTCAGGCTCTGTGGGTGATTGTCAAAGGCTGTAAATACTAATGCTTAGCAGCATTTTGGCAAATGGTGCTGGCTAGTTCCTCTTTTGTAGACCACAGTGTATTATATAGCAAGTTATAGACTTACAGTTGAATGAGCATGACTTAAGGCAGTTGTTTTCATGATTAAAGACTATCAGAAAATAACACCAAACTAAGGTAAAGGTCTACAGAAAATGACTCTCATCTACCTTTCCTCATGTTTGTGAGTCTTGACTTGCCAGGCATCCTATTTAGCTTCATAATAATTTTAATGGGTATGTACTGTGAGCTGAATCTGACATCAGAGGGCAGGATAGAGTCCCAATCCATAAATCCTGGTATTTACGTAGTTCACTTTCAAATAAATTGACAGCTTATGTCATTGGAGTTCTGGGTGATCTGTGTTCCGAGGTCAGATGAGAGGCCTCCTGGGTGGCTTTACTTTGAGAATGTGAAGGAGACTACTAGAGGGTACTATAAGTAAGACATGAATATGGTATAATGGAGGACTGGACGGCCCTCCTGACCGGAGGCCTGGGTTGGCTCTTTTTGAGCAATACTTTGCATAAACATAAGGCAAAGGGAAAGGGGCCCAGATAGCACTAAGTGTAGTCTCTGTTTGTATGCCATTCAGTCACATTTTCAGGTCATCAGTGAGAGTGGTTCTCCCACTTCCAAAATCCTCCTCCCTAATAGCCATCTTCTTGTACAACCCATCTGTAAGTCTTCCTAAGGACCAGATTTATCTATGGTGACAGAAGTTACATTGTTGGGAGCACTCCTTTCTTTCTGTGAGCTCTTTTTCCTTTAGCGGCAGGGGGCAGCACAAAAGGCAAGCTTTTATTCCGAAGAGCCTCTGGCACTGAGCCATAAGCTCCAAGGCCCCAGAGCTGCTAAGAAAAGTACAGCTGAGTTCTGGCCCATTATACCTGTCTTGTTTGGTTGTCTCATTTTAGTGGTGAAACATTGGTACTATTGACCCAGCATGGTTCCTTAATAGAGGTAAAGGGATGTCACTGAGGTAGCCTTAACTTTATGGCAATTCTTTTCTTATGTGATATTTATAGAAGTTTATAACAATTTCACCAAGAAAGCTTTCTTCAAGTATTTCTTTGCTAGTTCCTTAAGGGGAGGAAAACAGAAAACTAAAGCAAAAAATTAATGAAAACTACAGAAAAGCCCTGGTACTTTTTATTTTATAAGCTCCATGACTGCAGAATTACATTATAGATAGTAAGGGTATTTAGGAATCATATGTGGACAAGTAGTCTGGTAAAATTTGAACATAATATTGTTAACAGTCTGATCTTGTACATTGATTGGCATGTCTGCCTTGCTATCCATTTTGGCAGTTCTGAAATGATTATGTCATATAGTTCTCAGCTCCACTCTGAGTCCTTTGTCCACCAATTCCAATGAAACATGTATTTACTGGGTTTGTAACTCACAGGGAAATACATTTTCAGTGAAGTGGCCTCAGGGCATCCTTGGAATGGTAGACAGAACTCCCACAGATGTGAATAATGAATACCAGGTTTGCCAGAGAAGATAACCTTGCTTGTCTTTTCTGGCAAAAGGCTATGGGTGCTTCATCCTTTATTTTACTCCTTTTCTTGTTTTGTGCTGACAACATGGCATGGTAATCACAGAGTATTGGTCCTTGTGAGAGATGGGTAGACCGATGCCAGGTGAGATTTTCATACTATGTGACTTTTGCAAGTCCATCTACATATAATACATCATTGGGGTTGTTTAGTGTGAAACATTTTGAATGATCTGTTTGGGAATATTAATAATTTACATAGTGATAAACTGCATTGACAGGTGAATGCCAGTCATTTTGTTTTTAGCAAAAAATCCCAGCTGGGCTCAAATACTTTTTTCTGTTGCATAGATGAATCACAAACACTTGGAAGATTAAGTCAGAGCAGGCAACTTTGTGGTCTCTGTAGGTTACATTAACTGTGTTAGGCAACATGCAGAGTTAGAGTGAAGAAGAAAGAAGGAAAGAGCTCTTACCCTTTGCGACAGCATGGATGGAACTGGAGATCATTATGCTAAGTGAAGTAAGCCAGGTGATGAAAGACAAATACCATATGATCTCACCTATAAGTGGAATCTAATCAACAAAACAAGCAAGTGAGCAAAACAGAACCAGAGACATGGAAATAAAGAACAAACTGACAGTAACCAGAGGGGAAGTGGGAGGGGATAATGGGGTAATAGGGAGAAGGGTTTTCAGGAACAACTATAAAGGACACATGGACAGAACCAAGGCAGGGTGGGACTGGGGAGGGAGGTTTGGGATGGCTGGGGTTGGGGGGAGTGGTGTGGGGACAATGCAGACAACTGTACTTGAACAACAATAAAATTTAAAAATTTTTAAAAAACAAGAAAAGAATCTCCACTCCTTAATTTCTGTAGTTCTTTTGTAGTTTCATTGAAATTGGAAACAAGAGGGAAAGGGATGAAAAGAAGGTCCTGGAAAGATTAGTTCTACCTTAACTTCCCCACTATTAGTAAAATTAAAAGCCTATTTCTCTCCACAGATGAGAAATGAACTTAGAGAAAATTATATAGAGTCCATTAATAAACTATAGAAATTGGAACCAAGACAAAATAATGTTTACATGTATGATTGCTGATAATTCTTTTTTTCTAAGAGATTGTTCATCTAGACATTAGAGACTTCTGTCCTGCTGGTTTATTTGATAAATGGAATAATTAAATCATAATTACTCAAAGTATTCCTAAATTACAAGTAACTAGATGTTTTAATACTGTTAATATGGACCAGGTCTCAAAATAATACCAGTACTCAAAGATAACATTTGATGTCTTCAAAATGTCTAAACATTTGTTATTTTCTTGATTTTAGCAATTACCCTCTTTTAATGCATGAGAAAGCCAAGCTAGCAAAAGGTTAAATGAATTTCTACAGACCACAAGGCTCGTCACAGGGAGAGCCAAAATTGGAACTTGGCTTTCTAGACTCAGGCTGCATTGTTCTATTCTACCTTACCCTAAATATGTAGAAACTAAAATAAATTACATTTCTTCATGATAATTTTTGGTCTGAGCAGTTGAACATTTTCTATTAAATATATAATTTGTGAAGTATCTTTGTTGGCCCACTCATTTCATTTTCTTTAAAGGATCTAAAAACTTGCTAATGTACAAGTAGTACATAGTCATAGTAGAAAAATGAGAAAATAGTGAGAAACATAAAAGAATGTAAAAATTAAAATTCTCCCACCATACAGTGTTAAGCACTGGTCCATATATTGGGTTGGCCAAAAAGTTCATTGTGTTTTTCTGTTAGCTGGCTCTACTAGCGCTTACTTGTCTCTAACTGCATTTGAAACAATTTTGTTACATTGTATTGTGACAGCTGTCATATCACCTTGCATCTAAAAAAACCTTACCAAAATTGATGAATTTTTGTGTAGCCATTTTAATATTGAAGATGGAAGAAAATATGCAACATTTTTGGCATATGATGCTTTGATAGTTCAAGAAAGGTAAAAACGCAACTGAAACTTAAAAGATTTGTGTAGTGTATAAGGTATGTGCTGTGACTGACTGAATATGTCAAAAGTGGTTTGTGAAGTTTCATGCTGGAGGTGTCTCGCTGGATGATGCTCCACAGTCAGGTAGCCCAGCTGAAGTTGATAGCAATCAAATCAAGACATTAATTGAGAACAATCAATGTTATACCATTGGGAGAGAGCTGACATACTCAAAATATCCAAATCAATAAAGTTATTGGTGAAAATGAAAAATGTGTCTTTTATTTTATGGAAAAAAACACACCAATTTTTTGGCCAACCCAATAATACTTCTAGGTGTTTTTCTGGGCCTATATATGTGTGTATATATATGTATACATATGGTTTGCTGCTTTGTAAGAGTATGTCATGAGTATATTTCCATATCAGTGTAAACATACTTTATAACTTAATTTTCAGTAACAGTATTACTATTTCATTTTGTGGATGTCTTATTTATTCGACCCCAGTTGTATGTTTAAGTTATCTTCAGATTTTTAATATTATGTGTAACAACCTTTTCACATATGTCTTTTACATATACTTTCCTCTGGATAAATTCCTAGAAGTGGACTTGTTGAATCAATGGGTTTACATTGTTTTTTAAAGTTCTGATGCAAAACTCCAAATCTAAAGTGATTATTACCACTTTATGTTAGGACATTAGACCAACATTTGGGTATTTTTCCTGTTTTATAATCTTTCCCAATTTGAAAAGCAATAAACAGTATCTTATTGCTTTTAGGTTTTTTCAAAAATTATTATTTAGGGAGTTGAACATCTTTTCACATGTTTATGACCATTTGTATTTATTGATTTGCCTGTTCAAGTCTTTTGCCCATATTTTCTGCTGCAGTAATTATTTTGTTCTTAATGATTTTCAAGAATTTCTATGTATCAAAAATATAATAAACCTATTTTGACATCTAAGTTGCAGATTTTCCCCATCTTTTTCTCATTTAAATATATGACTTTTTTTTTGCTAAGCCAGTGCTTACTCAGACACCTGAACCCAGTCCCTACCCTGCCTCCTTTAGAGCCTTTCAGTACCCCGTATTCATAATAAGCATTCACCTTTAAGTACTTCAATCTTTTAAGTGTCTTTAATGTTTTAATCTCTGAAACTTATTTTGGTAGGAAATAATAGACAAATATACATAGGCTTTGCCCAAGTTCTTGGCACAAAGCTAAACCCTTGTAATTTTCTGAGTGATAAAGCCCAAGGAGCATCTTTTGTTCTAATATTTGTTCTACTGTTTCCTGACATTTTCCTGATTTAGGGTACTCTAAATCTCTTGGAATTTCCTGGTGGTAGTAGTGTCTTTTGTTCTAATGAGGCCATTCTTTCTTTCTGGGTTCCTGGATGGGCCTGGTTACCCGAAAGACCAAACCATGATTAGAAGCTTGGAATTTTCAGTCCTATCCTCCATTTTCCAGAGAGGGGTGAGGGGCTGGAAATGGAGCTTATAATTGATCATGCCTACAGGGTGAAACCTCCATAGAAATCCCAACAGTGTGGGATTTGGAGAGGTTCCAAGTTGCCAAACATGTGGAGGTGCTTGGAGAGGGCATGGAAACTCCACAGCCCTTCCCATATACCTTATTTTGTGCATCTTCTCCATCTGGATGCTCAGCTGTATCCTTCATCATAGTGGTCCTCAACCTTTTTGGCACCAGGGGCCAGTTTTGTGGAAGACAATTTTCATACAGACCCCGGGCGCCAGGGAAGGTTTCACAAGGATCCAAATGCCTTACATTCAAGCTCACCTCCTGCTGTGCAGCCTGGTTCCTGACAGGCTGGGACCTGTACCAGTCTGCAGCCCAGAGGTTGGGGACACCTGCTTTATCATATTTTTTATAATACACTGGTAAACATTAAGTTGTTTTCCTGAGTTCTGTGAGCCGCTTCAGCAAATTAATTGAACCCAAGGAGGGGCCGTGAGAACCTCTGATTTGTAGCTGATCAGTTAGAAGCATAGGTAACAACTTGGACTTGCTCTTGGCACCTGAATTTGGGAGGGGGCCGTCTTGTGGGACTAAACCCTTAACCTGTGATACCCAATGCTGTCCCTAGGTAGATAGTGTTAGAACTGAGTTAAATTGTAGGTCACCTAGCTGTTGTCACAGTACTGCTGGGAGTGGGAAAACCCCACACAGCCAGTGTCAGAAGTGTTGTGAGTGTGGTAGTAATGTGAGAGTGAAGGTGACACACAGGGGAAGTGTGGGTTTTCTAAACAGTATATGAGCCAAGTGTGGTTCTTTTATTTTTATTCCCCAAATACTTAATATTGCAGCGTGAGGTATTTTTCTTTGTTCACTAATTGAAATGCAGTCATTATCTAAAGGAAACTTGAATCTGTTTCTGGTCTTTCTGTTCTGTTGTAGTAGTCTTTCTGTTTGGCTCATGTGTGGACCTCACTGTTCTTATTATTGTGGTTTTATAGAGCATTATTACTAGGTAGTCCATTCATTTTGACCTGTAGGTAAAATGCTCAGTAATGAGATGTATATGAACTCTGCCTAGATTTGAGTTTCGTGACTGGCTCCCATGTCGGAGAGCTGATCATCTGGGACATCCTGGACTGGACCGTGCAGGCCTGTGAGCGCAACTTCTGGAACCCGCCTCCACAGCTGGACAGCCAGCAAGAAATAAAACTCTGTCAAAAACCAAATGATGTTTCTATTCATCATTTCACATGGGATGAAGAGGTAAAAAAAAAAAGTGGAGGAACTATCTATAAATTTGTCTTTTTAAGTAAACCCGGTTTCTAATTTTTTAAATTTAATCTCATGATGCATATAGAAAGGTATCATTCCCCATGTTCAAGGTTTGCTTTCAAATATTCTGATATTTTTCAAACATTGTACAACTTACATTAAAAAATTTTTTTTAATCTTAGTTCTTGTTTTTAAGACAAGGAATTGATTAAATGACCACAGATTTAAAAACTATTGAAATTCTGGATTGGATTAAATAACCCATAGAATTTGAGGATAATGCTTTAAATTGTTTTTAGAAGCACTTTGGGAAAGAATCCTTTTGAAGAATCTGGTGCAGCTCCTAAAGAGGTAAAGGAAATAAAGAAATCAAAGGGTTGTTTTTTTTCTTTTTGTCTATTAGCTCCAGGGGCAAGATGACTGTGTGAGAATTACCGATTTCAGTCTTTTAGGCCTTGGCAGCGATGCTCTTGAAGTACTTCACATTTCTTTCTGTAGTAAAAGATTAATACCAATGGATTAATGAATTCTGCTCAGAAAATGTAGTTAAAGGGGAGTTACTTTTCTAAATGTAACCATAAGAAATGTTTAAGAGTTGTAACCTTTGAGGAGAGGAGTTGGGGGAAGCTTTTATGTCACTTTATTTCATGCCTTATACTGTTTAAGTTTTCTAATCATATGTAGTTATTTTTATTTACACATTTGATAAATAATGGTCTGGATGGGAAGAGTACTGTATTTTTTAAATTTTCTTTGTCCCTCTCTTACTTTAAAAACCATACAATAGGATAAGACTAGGGTACAGAACACTAATATACCTAAAGATGGAGTTTATTTATATACCAACTTTATTTTGAAAAATATTAAATATACTTAATTTTCTGTTTAAAATTTATTTTCTCACTTTTTAAAAAAATGGTGTTTAAAAAGTTTTTTCATTTTACTTTTTTTAATCTTAAAAATTTTGATTGATGCTTATTAACTACGATAAATGCTTGATAAAACACTCAGTTTTTCTCCTCTTATAGGGGGTTCTTTCTTTCTATGGGGGGCATTAATTATTGATTACAGGTGATTGATAGAGTGACTCTATTGACTCATTGCAGCCTAAAAGATCATTAATTCTCTAGATGTGTACATAATTGTTTTTGTGACCTGGGGTAAATCACTTAAACTCTGCCCAGATGTTCTGGTCTGCAGAACTAGTTTCTGTGGTTTCTTTGCATTGAATGCTACCACTAGAACTCTAGAGTTTAGCAAGTTGGCTAGCTGTGCATTAATGCCCCGGCACTAATTCTCAGCTTGCATTGCTAAATGCAGAGTGCCAATTCTGAGATTCCAGAGGGATCATCCCAGATTTAGATTTTGGTAGCCTTGGGGTCATGCTTTGGTTCAGATCCCGCAGGTCTGAGTTGGGTTTGTAGCCTTTGAGTCTGCATGAGAAGGGTTCAAACAACAGAGAGGCAGTCTGTAGGGATTTTTGAAAGGTCTGGGAAGGCAGCCAGTAGGTGTTTCTCTCTTACATTGATATTTCCCTCCCTATCTCCCTCCCTTCCCCTCTAAAAAATAAAACATAAAAATAAAATAAAATGGAAAGGTCTGCTTTACTGGGGTCCTAATGAGTAAGAATGAATGGTTCTAAGTGAAGTGCTACCAAAAGTCTAGTGACTTGCAAAATGATTTCAGAACCTAGGAGGTGTGGTATGAGGAAAGAGCAAGGGACTCGAGTAACATGACCTTGAGTACTCCCTGTCTTAATATTCTGTGTGACTTTAATCTTTCAATTTTAACTTGCTCACCTGGAAAATGCTAATAATACTTGCTTTTCCTATCTTACTGAGATGTTGTGAGGCTGAAATAAGATATATATGAGGGAGGACCCAACAAAACCTGGAATTTATTTATAAAAATTTGTGTATTCTTACATGTTTAAACTTCATTCACCTTCAAAGTACTCTCCATTTGATGCAGTACACCTATTGAGACTTTTTTTTCTGCTGCTCAGAGCAGTTTTTGAACTCGTTGATTTTGATGCCTTGTAGTGCTGCTTCTGTTTTTTGTTTCAACTTTTCCACATGGGCAAAACATTTCCCTTTGAGGACTTTTTTCATCAGGGAAACAAACAAAAAAGGTTGCTTGGGGCAAGATTGGGTGAACAGAGAAGGTGGGGCATGGGAGTCATGCCATTTTTGTTCAAAAACTGTGAACACTCAGCAAAGTGTGAGCAGGAGTGCTTGTAAATCACCCATCATGAAATGGGCAAATGCATTGAGTCTTCAAAAAAAAAATTCACTGAAGCCCAACACAGCCTCTCACAACAGCACCAGCTGGCACACTGATACAGGTGGGTTCCTAGAACACTCACCCAGTGGGGGAAGCAGGTGCTATAAGGGCCCCTGCCCTCCAGAAAATAATTCTGGTGTTTTTTGGTTCCCCCTTGTATTGGTGAAAATACTTTCAAATGCTAAAAGTTGTTTTAGTAAAAAGTTATTTCTAATACTACATTTGAAAAAATGGCCCTGGCTGGCATAGCTCAGTGGATTGAGCGTGGGCTGCGAACCAAAGTGTCACAGGTTCGATTCCCAGTCAGGGTACATGCCTGGGTTTCAGGCCATGACCCCCAGCAACCGCACATTGATGTTTTTCTCTCTCTCTCTATCTCCCTCCCTTCCCTCTCTAAAAGTAAATAAATGAAATCTTAAAAAAAAAAAAAGAAAAAATGTTTTTGTGAAACCTTCAGCAGATCTTAAGATGACAGTGTCACTATAGCATAGACTTCTTTTGTGTCCTTTTTAAGTCTCTTGGTTGTTTAAGATACAGAGTACAAGTAATTTTGCTCATACCTTGCAGGCAAACAAAGCTAAGTAACTTCCCAAGGATATAGTATGATGTGAGTAAAAACTTAGCTTGTACCTCAGCAGCTTCTGCTGCAGGGCCAATCCACCAGCCATAGCTCCTTTCTCTAGCTGTCATAGTTCAGTGAGGAAGAAAGTGAAGATGGGGGTTGTAATATACAGAGCTTTCTCTGTATTAGCAGTTGTGTCCTTCTACATTCTAAATGCTGAGCTTTCCTTTGTGATTTGAAATTTTTGGACTTCAGAGGGCAGCACAGTAATTTGGGCTGAAGGCTAGGAATAGGGGAAAGTACCAATGGCTTTCTGATGTCACAGCAGGGCTGGAAATCTATTACACTAGATAGTGGAAAGCAATGGTTTTATGCCCATTTCTGAATTTCTCCCCCCAGAATGTATTTGTTGCAGTTGGAAGGGGTTTATACGTGTATAACCTTCCAATGAAGCGTGTGATTGCCTGCCAGAAAACTGCACATGACTCCAGTGTCCTACACATTGCCAAACTTCCAAACAGGTACCGTTCCCATCTGTTCTGCAGCAGATGAAAGAAATTCATAGTTCCCAGGGCTACCAGTGTAATTTCTCAAGTGGCAAAGTTACCTGGCTTTGTGGCTTGACCTGCTATATTCTTTTGGAAGTGAAGAATACCTTGTGGCTGTCTCTAACAAGAGTTTGTGGCAATATAATACAAAATTTATAAGAAGCATGGTTCAATTGAATTTCATTATAAGAAGGGATGCTTTAAAATAGGGCATTTATTTAAAAAGATAAAAGATTTTTGGGCACTTACCATGTGCTAATTTTTCTATTTTCCATAAACACATCTTTTTTGTCATTGTTTGTTTATAGCCAGAGAATCAAATGGAAATCTCCTGTTGTTAAAGGTCACTAAGTGAGGACTTTTCTCTTAGGGTAAATTTGGCTGCTGAATTTTTAGGGAGAAAATTATATGAAAGAATAGTATTATTTTCTATGCGGGGTATTTTCAGAGTGAGAGGCCCCCTGAAAAGAGATATAGTGAGAGGAGGATGAGGCCACTCAGGATATTATGAAATGTAATTCATACCCTGTTCTCCTGAATACATTTTTAAAAATGGAGATGAAATATTCATAACATTTGAGCCAATGTAACAATATAATATGTGTCTTTCCTGAAAAGTGCTTTTACTTTGCATTGGAAAGCCATGTTAAATTGTGATTTTTATCAGCTCCTGCCAAGAGTTGAATAAAAGCAATCGAGGGCTCCACTGATTTCTTTCACTGCAAATTTAGCATTGGTGCTCCATGGTGCATCTTTTCTTCAGTGATTTTCTCCCCTGACAGGCAGTTAATCTCATGCTCAGAAGATGGCAGTGTACGCATTTGGGAGTTACGTGAAAAACAGCAGCTTGCAGCTGAACCTGTACCAACAGGTGTGTGTGTCTTTTCTTAAAAAGGCAGACTTTCTTTTTTTCCTCCTGTGAAAGCCAGAAGAAAGGCAGTCATGTATAACCACAAGAATAATATACAGTGTGCTCCAAATAGGCATGTAAGATATTTACATGAAGCTATGGTAATTGGGATCTAGGGTTCACATCTTAATATTGCTTTAATACAGAATTACCTGCCTATTTCTCTTCAAGTCAATTAGGGTTTTATTGTTTGAGGGGAAACTTATTTTCTGGTAATCTGACTGACCAGTTGGCCAATGCAGTAATTTTTCATTTGTATTGTTCATAATTATGCTTGATACACAGACAGTTTGTATGGTCAGATGTCATAGTAAAGGGTTCTTTCAGCCTTGAAGCATTATCATTAACATCGAACTCAATTTATCGGAAAACACACTTTGGTGCTCTTAATCTCATGAACTCTTGACTTTCAGGTGTTTGGTTTGTAAAACAAAGTCCCGGTTTGTTAGCAACCTTTGCCTGAGAAATCAGGTGCTGGTTGCCTCTGGAGTTTCTTGATTACCTGAAGTCACAGGATATTGTTTTTGGACACTTACGTTCCTTTCAGTCTACTTTGGTGATAGATCTGAGTTGTGACCTTTTTGGGGGGGGTAGTTGGAGGGACACTACCTTTCAGGCCTTTTACTTCTCCTCTTTCATTCCCAGTGTCTAGCTTCTTGTCATGTTAATACACCTTCACCAGTGGGTGATTAAGGGCAATAAAGAGGGACCAGGAACAAACCAGGTTAGCTAAGAAAGATGAAAAGAAGGAACATTACCAAAAAAAAGAACTAGCACAGTGCCTGGTACCATCCCTTTAGCCCGTGACTAAAATAGGTGCAGGAGATCTTCGCATTTAAATTTTTTTTTCTCATCTCCTATTACTGTCATAAGTAAAGGGCACAAGAATTTTGAAAATGACCAAAGTGATTGTTTTTCTAGGTTTTTTTAACATGTGGGGATTTGGACGAGTGAACAAACAAGCCAGCCAACCTGTTAAAAAGCAACAAGAAAATGCCACTTCATGTTTACTAGAACTTATTGGAGATTTGATTGGACACTCATCATCTGTAGAGGTATTGATTTTAATGGGCATGTAAATGTCTACGGAATTCCTCCTTTATCTCGCTGTCTTCATTCAGTTGGTCTCAGAAAGACCTATACTTTCTCATACCTGTAGGTTTTTCCTGAGTCAAAACATGGAATAGGACAGGTTGTGGAATGTGCAGTTAGGGTCTCTCTCTTCACAGAGATAGAATCTAAGGAATCAAGAGATGTGTCTCTTGATTCTACATCTGCAATTTTCAACCTTTTTCATCTGATGGCACACATAAACTAATGACTAAAATTCTGCAGCACACCAAAAAGTATGTTTTTTGCTAATCTGACAGAAAAGGAGGCATAATTTTCATAGTCATGTATTGCATGTTTTAAAAATTCCTGTGGCACATCAGTCGAAAGTTGCTGTTCTAAATAATGGGCTTAATCACCAGTATTTTTGAGATCTAGATCGCCGACAATAAGGACAGTGTGAATAATGTTGAGTAGGTAACAGCAGTAAATCGAGGATGAACGGAGGGCTGTGGTTATACACATATATGTATGTAGAGTTAGCCTCACAGAGTCTAATTCCAGGGACCTCTATCAGATTCCTGAATAGAGCACTGTTTTACTTCCCTTTGAAGGATAATAGTTTGTCAGCTTTAGTAAAACCTAGTGTCTTGATTATCATTATGCATATATGAAAATTTTAGTTGAGAATTATAAAATGCATATAATTCTAACTTGTGGATATCCAAAAATGTTAATATTTCTTATAGGCACCATTGCCTGTAATGAAGGAATAAAATTAGTGGAGATAAAGAGATGACTGGAACTAGTAATAGTATGATAGCAGTATATGCAAAGCCCTAAGTAATGACTTTCTTAAATTGTTCTTTGGTGTTTCATAGCCAGGGAGGAACAAATTAGTTCTCATTTGAAAGTGTACTTATGCTTAGGAGCACAAGCGCCACCCTTGTTATGGAGCATTTTTCATATTTCAGGCACTGTACTAGACAATGGAGTTTACAAAGAGATACAAAATACAGTGCTTGCCCTTGTGGATCTTACACTTTAGTAGATAAAGTATCTAAGGCTACAGACCTAATACGCTGTTAATCTAGGCTTCTTATGTGGACCCAGATGCATAGCAGACTGAATATTCAGGACTTACAAGAAAATGATTGGTGGAAGGTACAGGGCTTGAGACTTGAGCTGAACCTTGACAGTTGGATAGGATTGATGCTCCCAGATGTTGGGTACTCATCTGTACTTTCCTCTAACAAGTAGCCCAGTCATTTTTGTTTCATTGTCAACTTTGACTTCATTTGCTTGGCTGTAGTGTGGTGTGGGGTTGGTAAGGGTGGAGTGTGGTAGACAGAGGGCAAAAATAGGATCTGCTTTGGTAGCAAGGAGCATATTCGCTAGGCTGGAGCACTGGGCTTCTGTGAACAAACTCTAATCCAGGAGATAAAAGCCTGGGAAAGTAATTTTGGTTAGATTATGACTGCCAATGAATGTAAGGCTAAGGAGTTCAGATTTTATTTTTAAAATCATAGGAACCCATGGGAGGGAAGTGGGGAGGGTTGGGAGGGTGGGCTGGATTGGGAGTAAAAGGGAGAAAACTGTACTTGAACAATGATTAAAATAAAATTTTAAAAAAATCATAGGAACCCACTAAAGGTTTCTCACTGGTGGGGAAACCTTCAAAGTGGCACGTTTGTCATAATATAGAAATGTCAGATTCTTAAGAATTTTCCTGAGTGAAAGTTTTTGACACTTAAGCTTTTATTATTATTTTATTTATTTATTTATTTATTTATTTAAGTATCTCTGGCGTCATTGAGAAAATCTAGGCCTGGGGTGTCAAACTCATTTTCACTGGGGGCCACATCAGCCTCATGATTGCTTTCAAAAAGCCAATATTTTAGGACTGTATAAATGTAACTACTCCTTAACTGTTAAGGAGTTGAAATTGCATTCGGCCCTTTGAAGGCAACTGCGAGGCTGATGTGGCCCCTGTGAAAATGAGTTTGACACCCCTGCTCTGAGCTGTCTGGTAGGTACTATCTCCTGGATTTCCTCATTCCTTTGATTAGATTTTCATCTGTACTCTAACCCAACCCATCCATGTTCTGAATTCTGTCTTTTCCATGTCCTGAGGAATTTTGTTCTGATATTAACCTCCTGCACACCTACATAATCAGCCGAGGCCTCATCCTGCTATCTTTGGAAATGAATAAATTATTTCAGAGAAAACTCTTATCCTGTTGTATTATTTCTCTCCTTTATTTCATTCTTTGCTTGGATGAGCGCTCATCCTTTCAGTGGCTTCATTTTTCTCCTCTGACGCCTGCTCTCCACTCCAGTGTTCACGCTGCTTCCTCATCAACACTCTATTTTCTTGTTCTTAGTCTCCAGCCTATTCCTTCCCATGGTATGACTTCCCTGCACCCCCTCCCCTTTTTTTGGAGAAGTTTATGTTTTTGAAACTTTCTCTGACAATTTCAGTTATTGATCTGCCCCCTTTTTCTGAATTTCTGTGGCAAATCAGAGTCTGAACAGCATTACTGTGTAGAACCTGATCACATAGTCTTTCATGGTGCCCTGATTGCTTCAGCTATGATTTGGTATTACAGCTGAATCAGAACCTTCTCGAGGTAGGGACCATAAGCATGTAGATGACACTCAGTAAATGCTTATGGACGGACTGATTATATCCCCTTTTATTTACAGACCTGAAGCCAGTGTGCACCTTTGAGAATTTTGAATTCAGACTTTTTTTGGTAGCCATTTGTGTATAAATAATGAGGCATGTATAAATGATTATAAGTAAAATAGGTCTGGCAGGCAGGATTTCCGACAAAATCTTAAAAACGGTACTTGAAGAATAATGTAAAATTCAGAAGCTACTTTGGGAATTTATGTACATTAAAAAAATAGCTGTTACAGGTCTGTAGTTGAGCAGTTAAAGTGCTGACTACTAAAACACTAGATATTGGTCTAGCATTTATGGTTTTAGTATGCATATATTTGTATGACTATTATCCACACTTAAAATTTCTCATGGAAAATGATAAAGAATTCACATCCCAGTACATCTCCAAGATGCACGTCTTACAAGGAAACCTGTGGATCTAACTTTGCCACTTCTCCTGTCCTTGAAGTTCCTATACTAAGTAGTTTTAAATTTCTTTTTTTTTGTCTTTTTCCATTACAAAACCTTACAATTTTAGAATATGACCAAGCTTTATAATGAATTTTTAACCATTTTTTTAAAATTTTAATTGTTATTCAAGTACAGTTTTCTTCCCTTTAACCCCCTTCCTAACCCACCCCCCCAACCCTCCCCCTCCCCACCTCCCCCTCGTTATTGTCCATGTGTCCTTTATAGTTGTTCCTGAAAATCCTTCCTCCCTTCCCCTGAAATTCCCTCCCTTCTGGTCACTGTCAGCCTGTTCTCAATTTCAGTGTCTTTGGTTATATTTTGCTTGTTTGTTTGTTTTGTTGATTAGATTCCTGTAAAAGGTGAGATCATATGGTATTTGTTTGAAATTTCTTTACAGATGTTCCTATACTTTGAAGATCATGGACTAGTGACATGCTCTGCTGATCATCTCATTATTTTGTGGAAAAATGGAGAACGAGAATCTGGATTGCGCAGTTTAAAATTATTTCAAAAATTAGAGGAGAATGGTGACTTGTATCTTGCTGTCTAGTTTAGGGGTTTTGGAATACCTGTGCATGAACTTTGAATATCAAATATAGGGTAATACTCTGAAAACCATTAACATGTTGATCACTTAATGTGTAATATATATTTTTGTCACTTTATAAACTTCTGATTGTGTGAATTCTTTTTTGTAGGCATGCAAAGCAGCAACAAGTTGCTTCTTAGGTGTGAGTACATCCACCAAAGAATATACCACAAGTGTTTTAGCAGGGAATTTTCAAAAAGTGAACTTTGCAGATCATACTACAAATAAATATCTGTTGACACAGAATTAAATTACACCATAGAATCAGTACAATTTAAAAATATTGTTATGCTTTAATTTTACACTAGAAATAATGAGCTTAATGAGCATAGTACTTAGAATCTCTTACTTTCTTTGTTTAGTTTAATTTTATTACCTCTAGTTAAATTCTGATAAGATTTTTTTAAAAGTTGCATATAGTTTTTAAAATTTATTTAGTCATTAGATTGTGAAATACTTTTGTTCTCCAAAATGAATATTTTAACTATACTTGTTCATTTCTTTAAACATTTATTTATTTAAAAGCCTACCTTTAAGGAAATCAGTACACACGATAATTATAGAAGATATTTTGGGAACGAAACCCTCTGAAGAAGAGGTGGGATGCAGCAAAACTTGAACTTAAACCTTGAGATCTCCAGAAAACTCTTCCTGCCGTGCAGGAAACAGGGATTGTGCAATGGCCGCACTGTGGGCTTCTGCTGGGGTGCGGTGAGTGCTGTTCTGTGAGCTGCTTCCCTTGAACTTGGGTCTTGTGAGGAGGTGCACGTAGAGCAGTAAAGTTGTGGTATTAATGAGAAGGTTTTTATTCTTTGGTTATCTTTAGGAGCCCATTTAATTAAGAATTCTTGTGATAAATTTAGATATATCCTTTCTCCTACAAATTTCCTTGGTATTTAGTAACTAATCATCAATGCTCTATAGAGCAAACTTGAATCTCTCACTGTTTAACTACAACTTTATTTTTTTTGGTGCCAACTAATTTGTTTATTTTTTTTTAGATCTATTTACTAAAATCTCTATTAACTCAAATCAATAGGAATTTTATGAGGGTGTATTTTTTCCCCAGTGTGAATCGGCCTGAACAGCCATTGGCTAGATTGGCACTATACCCACACTGCCCCTCACGTGCCGGGTGAGAGCTGGGTGAGTGAAGAGCTACAGTGTTTTCAGTCCGAGTCCGAAGTGCCTGGTTCATCTCCCCATTGACTCACATTTGAAATGCTTGAGAAGGGCTTCACTTACAGTGGCTGCTGAGATTTAATCGTCTTCATCATCCAGCAGCTTTGTATCAGAGCACTTTTTCTCCCTTTTGGTACTACAGAATAAAAATTAAAAAGTGTTCCACACATTAAGAATAGGTGAGTTTAATATTGGAGTCATTCTTAAATTTAAACTGCTAATGAAAGGATCCTGTTAAAGTAAGTGCAAGGTGAGGGACGCTGTCAGAGGACTGATCCTTCTCAAAGAGCACTTTCTGCAGATTTATGGTTCATCATACACACTGCAGGTGGAATCTTTATAAATTGTTGATGTACTGGGTTTTTCCTTTGACGGTTGCTTTCACAACTGCCAGCAAAGTCTGGAAGAGCGAAGATCATCTATGCCAGAGCAGTGTTATGTTATAAATGAGGAAACTGAGGCCCAGATTAGCAGGGCCTTGCAGTTTGTTAGTTCTATTCCATTATCATCATTGAGCGGCTTTAAAAACAAAGTGAAGAGGACTGGAATCAGAGATAAAGGCTTATATGACCACCATATGAGGAAAATCAAATAATGTTCACATTTATTTAATTTATAATGAAGACAGATTTATGGAGAACTATATTAAAATTTGTTACCTCCATTATAGAATAGAGGACTATGACTAGGAAAATTAGCACTCCCTTTGAGCCAACAACTTGCCATTGTGGCATATTTGAGGAGTCCCAGAGACAGCTTTCTGGTCTTTTGTCCTGAAATTGGAACATGGTTAGTAGTCCAACACCAGGCAGAATGCAACACCGTGCATTCTGGTCTGAGTGCATCAGATTGTTGACCAATTTGATTAAATATCTCAGAACCATTTTCAGGCTTTTAATTTTCCTCTATAGATGGACTTCATTCCATTAAGAGCTAGCATGTTCTTTGGGAAATTTTATATTAGGTAATGAGTTTGTATCAAAGTTATTTCCTTGAATTGTTTGTGACATATTCAATGAATTATATGAGAAACTCAGATTTTTAACTGCTCCATTTCCTAATCTGTTCTGGTTATTATTTTGTGATAGTATTCTATTCACATGGAATGACAAAAACCACAGGTAAGTTTTTGGAGCAAATGGTACCATAAGTATCACATAAATCCCTGTTGTTATACTCTAGTTCCCAAGTGGCAAACACAAGGCCCACGGCTGAATCTGGCCCTCCACCTTGTTTTATCCGGCCCGGCACCTTGTTTCTATTTGATGGCAGTGCCAAGCTCTTGCTTAACTGTTACGGAGTAGTTACATTTACACAGTCCTAAAATTACATTCGGCCCTTTGAAGGCGACCACGAGGCTGATGTGGCCCCCGGTGAAAATGAGTTTGACACCCTTGGTCCAGAGGGATGCCTCCAACCCACTCACTGGACTTCATGGGTTTTGCTTTCATGAATGCCCTAATTTAGAATACAATTATAATTGAGGTCAACATACACTATGTGCATTTTTTCCTATCTTAGTTTTCAATGCTATTATATTTGCAAATAACACTGTGTAGTATACCTTATTACCTCTTTCTCAGGCTGTATTTATAACACAATCAAGAGTCTAAACTTTGGGGCATTTGTATCATTCCTTCCATTTATCTTCCACAAGTGGAGTGGGTTCTGATTGAACTGATGAGGCTTGTTCTTTGCCCATAAGACTAACCAGTCCTGACCCTGAAGGCAAGCAAATCTTAAATTGGAAGTAAAGAATGACTCAGCTAAATTATAGGGTCATCATTCTGGTCCAGGTAACAAAGTTTTCTAACTTTTTCTTCTGGTAAGTATGGCAGTAATAATATGACCTCTCTCTGTTATTAGATAGTGTTTCATTTTCCTAAATTAATGTAGCTCCCCTCAACATAGAATGTTTTAGTAAACAACTCAGGGTAAGAGGCAATTGTAACAGTTTATACCCATCTGATACACATACCATCTGAAAGACTATTCTAATAAAATGACTCTTTGGAGGAGTGTGCTATTTAAGGAGCTACTCAGAAGATTACACCATTGTGGATACTCTGATAAAGAGCAGAGCTATGCTTAAGCTTTAGAACCTGGTAGTCTTAAAGCATTTAAGTTAATATGAACTTAATTTGACATTCCACTGAGTAAGCTCTAACATTCAAATACAAAGTGTGAGACATCTGATAAATGTTGCTTACTCACAAAATGGAACTGAAAGAGATGGTCAGGAAAAGATTGTCTTCGCCTTAAGCAAGCTTCTGAAGAAGCCTAAGCAAATTATTTATTTAGCTCCTTAAAATGGGATTCAGACATCCCGAATTTAATGTGTTCTGAAAACAAAGTGTATGATTCATGAAATAAAGGACACAAAACTAAAATTTTGAAATTATGAAAAATTTAGGCCAGAGGGGAGGTAAAATAAGAACAGCTGTTATAAGTAAAATGGCTATAGGAATTTAGTTACAAGTACTTCACAGAAACATTGCCATCACTTGTACATAATGCAGCATTACAGTACAACGCGAGCTGCTGTCCTGATCAAGCAGGTCCTCTCACCGTCTCATGAAAATAATTCAGAGATGCTTCTCTGCATGGTATTGTCATATATGTTTCCATTTTTTAGTACAAAACGTAGAAAAAAACATTGGCACATTATGAGTGATGAGTAATTTTTTTTTCTTTCTGTGTACTAATTCCAAGTGTTCTGCATTCCAATTTTTGTTTGAAAGAAGTAATTACTGACTCAATTAATCCAGTCTCTGTTTATACCTCTTAAAAATGCAGCATGGAGTACAAAGAATTTGAAAGAAAAATGAAGATACTTTGTTTACTGAGCTTCTAATATTTATAATACATAGAGAAGGGTTGGCCGGTAGAAGAGAAAGGAAAATTTCAAGTCTGACTTCATGTAGATCACAGAAAGTTGTGAAAAGAGCCGTATAAAAATATGCACTTGTGCTTTAGAAGCTTTTAGCATACAGTTAATAATATTTACTGTTTCCCCACATGTCTATATTCTGATATATTTACACATCCTGCATTTTTTTACATCATTAAAGGAAAATGGCATGATCACAAATACAGGCAGAAAACAATTGAACCTTGAAACTTCCCCTAGCCCCTCCCAAATACATACATATAGATGGTACATGGTACAGCATTCTCCAGAAAATTTAGATTGATTTCGTAAAAATTTTAAACAGCAAATGTATATAAATTTTTTCTTTTTTAAAAAAAGCTTGTCCAAGGGCATTCAGATTTAATGGCTTTTATATAATACTCACTGTAGTGCCTTGTGACTGCCTCTGTTAACCACAAATAAGGGAATCTCATGGAGTTCCCTGAAACAAAATGTCACTCCCTTCCCCATCATGGATGGCTTTCTGTTCAGATGAATGCCTTTTACAGGAAAGAGGGCTATACGGGCTGCCAAGACCAGTCTAGAGAAGGCACGCACCAGGCCATGGCTAACTTGGGTGTCATAACATCGATCAGAAGAACCCCATAACTATGGAGGCTGTGAAGCTAACCAATGTATCAATAATTTGATCCTTATTGTTTTGCTCATTTTATAGTTTTGGGTTTTGTTTAGATACTCTTAGGAATTCTTCAGATCAATGCTCTTGAGGAAAACAATGACACTAAACAGTGGTGGTGACTTTTGTGGTAACATATGGGCTGAACTCTAGCTAAGCTACTTGGTCATCATCATCTAGGGAGATGGGCTCAGAGACACCAGGTTTTGCTGCTTGTGTCCTGCTAGGTATAGTCTTTCAGCTCCATGGTTGACGAGGACACACAGGGTCACAGCAGGGCAAAGGATTTTTCCCTGTGTTTGTTCTGTCACTATGTGATTATATAAAGAACACATTTTTCTTCATGGAATATAACTTTCCAAAACTGAAATTTGGGGATTTACATGATTCAAGGTCAGATATCAAACATTAGCTCCTTGACCTACAGTTGTCATTTTCATCATAAAGGAAAGCCTCTCCTTTACACTACTGTGAGTCACCGTGTCCTTTGTGGGTAAGGGGTCCCCTTCTCTGTCCTGGTTCAGTTGTCGGATGGGAGCCTCAGACTCTTGCACTTCAGGTCATCTAATGTCTTCCAGTGCTTGTAGTTGTTGGCCAGGTGTTGCATTAGGGCTGGCAGGTGTGCAAAGGCTGCAAGGACATAAAAGGGTCAAAAGAAGCCTGTTACGTTATATCCCAGAAACACTTAGAAGACTGGGGCTCTGTAGGACAAATTTGGGATCAGAACTGGAGGAGAAATACCCGAGGTAAGGCCTTAGGCTGCAGGTGAACACACAACACTAGAAGGATAGTCACTAAACACTAGTTTCTGAAATACAAACAGGTGGTCCTTTTAATTAACAATTGAAAAGCCATTACCAAAAGAATCTGACTCAGTATCGACTTTTAATACATTTTGTGTTCTTTCTGAAGTTTCTTCCAGTGATAGACTAAAACTGCTGTAAGCTTTGGAAGAGGTCCTTCGAAGAGGTAAAGTCTTATTTATCAATTAATTTATCAAACATCCATTGAGTCTTTTGTGCACAAGATTCATGCCAGGTGCTGGGGACACAAAAAGTGCACGTGCACCCCACCATACCCAGCCACAAACAGTCTGTTGTTAAAGGTAATCATTGTAAAGGATAACAAAATATTTTGTGTGGTGGACAAAACAGAATCTATCTTACCATCCCAAGCATCGAACATGTCTGTTATGAAGTAGTCAATGAAGGAAATTTGTGACTTGGGGATGCTACAGGTATTCCGGTCAAACACTGGCATCACCACAGGTAGTCCCTGTCTCTTCTCTTCATCGGTCTGTAAGACATAACACTCACAGGGCTGTAGGGCCACAAGGAACTGTGACAGTACGCTCTAGTTTCTCAGAACCACCCTGTGGAAATGGGTCAGCATAGTCCAATTGTATATATGAAGAAATAGGCTCAACGTGATTCTGGGACTTAATGTAACCCAACCAACTACCTGGTGAGATGCAGTAACTAAATTCAGGACTTCTGACTCTCACGTCTTTTAAGCTTTACCACAGCCTCTCCTGAAGGGTCCATCTCAGGGTTCACGTCCTTTTTTTTTTTTGAGATCTATTTTCATTATTGCAAGGTGAAAACTATTTTCAAAGTAATAATGATAATACGATTATTAATACTAACAATACTAATGCAAATAACACCACTTGACAGAAGCAGTGATGGGTAGGACTGCCGACGCCTTAGCATGAATCAAAGAATCGGCACCAAACTGTACCATAGTCATTGTATTAATAACAGTCGCATGCCTACAGTTTAAAAAGAAAGCCAGTTTCACTCTAAGAACACCCTCATGGAAACAGTAGGATTACTAACCTTACTGAAGCTGGACCTCTGAGTGTCCACCTCCTTCCTGTTCTGTGACACAGCGGGACGGACACACAGCCCTTGTGCTGCTTCCCAGCAGTGCCGCTGGTTTTGGGGGAAAGCACGTTTGCCTTTCAGCTGAACTAGCTGTTTTTTTCATGGGACACTGTTTTTACTCAAAAGAATGACTGACAAACTATATATCAGATTTGGGTATTGGTCATGCATTTTGCGCCAAGTGTGGGTAAATCTGAGTATTTTGTACATTGGAGTGAATATTTATTTGCATATTCACTGAGCTGAATATTAAGATCCACATTTCCTGATGGCGTGTTGAGCCAGAGGCCAGCTGATCAGAGGCCTCATTTGTAATTTTTGATTTTTAGGTCACATTGGCTCGTTAACAATAGTACACTTTGCAGGGAGGGGACATCTAAACAGGGAGCTTACATTAGAGAACTTTAAAGTGGTTCTTTCCCATTTCCCATTCATGTACTTTGAGAATAACTAGGAGTAGGATTTCAGGTCCTCTCTGTGGGTCCTAGGAAGCCCATTAACAGCCTCCTGCCAGCTTTTGGCTCAACTTTCTCATTACAGGTCAGTTGATTAGGCAGCCTTAAAATACCTACTGTTGTTCAAGAAGTAGTTGGGTGTTTTTGTTTTGTTTTGTTTTGTTTCCCCCTCTTTTATCTGGCAAGCCCAGAACTGCCCGTCCTACTTTTCTTCAATTCAGGGGCTCTCTTCCCAGCCCTAAAAGCTACAGTTAATGTACTAGATCCTCCACTGACCACTCCCCTGACTGCCTTTTCTGACATCATCAGCTATTAATAGCTGTGGTACATTCCTCAGAGGCATATTCTAGCCATGTAGACCCCCCTGCCCCAATGCATTACTTGTAGGTACTACTCGTGTGTTTGTCTTTCTGCTGCACATACACACATCAGTTCTTAGAGCCTCTTCTCTGGAAGTAGGCCTGTATTTCAAATGGCATCTTGCTGTCTGTTCTTTCTGGATTTTTCTTCTTTAATTCTTCTTTATACTGCCAAACTGAACTAGATATTACTGCACTCCTTATATAAAAATTACATTTTCCTTCTTACTCATTTTGTTCATAATGCTTTGTTCCCTCAAAGTCCTTTCTTATTTCCACATATCTAACACCTGCTGCCACCGGCCCCCCCCCCCCCCCAAAAAAAGCCCTCCAAGATCATACCCACAAAGCCCCTCTTTTATCTAAGGGAAAAAAATCTTTCTGAACTCTCATAGCAGTTAACATACTTAAAATATACCTCCTGTAGAGAGATTTCTTTTTCTCTTTTTTTTAACTAATGTGTGGACCTATCCATTTCTACATCTTTCTACTATATTGTGAGTTGCCATGGCTTCTGTCTGTGTTCCCCATCATGCGCCATGGAGATAATAGCCTAGTGAATGAATGGATGATATTCCCAGTTTTTGTAGAAGTGCAGGAACTAAGAATTTGAGGATGAAAAGATGCAGGCTGCTTATTCCTCATCCCCTAGAGAGACTTTGGTTACTGACCAGCCACATCAGTCTCTTGAGGGAGCCAGAGGTTTAGTCCAGGCAGGTGTGAGCCATTTCCTTCCAGGGAGGACTCATGTACTAGTTCATCATGAGAATCCCCAGAGTTCTATGACATGGAGCCATTCCCAGAAGAGAAGTAAAGGGCCCCTAGGGAGACCACGCACCTGTGCGAAGTATTCCTCGGAGATCCTCCCTGCCCATTCGATGCACAGGTCCAGGGGGCGGCATGGGTTGGCCACGTCAGCACACTTAATCATCATGCGCTTGATCAGGATTTGGTTTTCAGGTAAGTTCTTCCCAATAGGGTTGCATTCACAGTCACTGCCCTCGGTCTGAAAAACATTGTCAGATGAGGGTTAGTTCAAGGTGATGGTGAAGCCTAGGAAGGCTAGCTGACCAGACAGTAGGCGCTGATCACTTGGGCACACGGAGACATGTCTGTGACTCAGAACAGCAGGTTTCCCTTCATTAATTCCATAATGCCGTTAAAAAAAAAAAAGGAAAACCTTAAACAATACAAAAACTTCGAGTTTAAAAGGTCAAAGTTCCTATCACTACCCCTCTACTCCCTCACTTCCATCCTCTGCCCAGAGTGGACTGCTATAAGTAGTTTAAGCAGTTCTGTTCTGTGTTTAGTAATGTGTCATGTGACCTTAAAGAAGGAGAGCTTGTCTACCAGATTTATTAGGAAATGTGTAAAAGCAGAAATTGGTTTTTAATGCATTAAAGATGGAAAAATAACACATAATATGACCTTCCAGTTATTCCTTCACTGATTTCTTCTTATACCTACCAGCTCCCTCTCTCTTGTGACCTGTCTCATCCCTACTCACCCACCTCCTCCTACTTCATTCTTTCTCTTAAGGTCTGTGTGCAGTCACGCTCTCCTGGCTGCTCTTCCGACTGGGTACTAGGGAGTGTGACCCATATAAGCTTTGGGGGTACTAGGAGTAGAAGGTGGGCCTGGGCAGGAACAGGTGTGTTCAGCATGTTTAAGAAGACTGGCCATTCGCTAGGACAAACCTAGTGATGTATGTCGGTGGTTCCGAGCCAAGTGGCCAGGTCCCCGAGGAGGTTTACATACATGCAACACACACCAGTTATACAAACTCTGGAAGATTGATTTCTACTCTGTCTTCAAAAACACCATTGAATTGATTGTGTGAAAACAATTAGCTCTCCAGAGCTCTGCCAAGCTGAAAGACTGCATGACATTTGAGGGTTTTTGTCTTTGTTTTTAGGCTGGATCTACTTATTAGACCATCAATGGAAAGAATTATGTTCTGAGGGTGGCGGTTTTGGTTACTTGCCACTGAGGAGATAGTGCTTATGATAGTCTCTGCAGTAAGTACTAGATCTCAATGCAGAGTTTGGGGCTTACTTGGATAGATGAACTTCCCAACTCTAAATTCTAGGACTCTAATTTTCCCTTCTAAACCCCAGTTACTCCCATAAGTCCTCTGTGGAAGGAGAGGGCCCTGGCATGGGGCCATGGGATTCCTGGGGGATGGAGCAGAACACAGGTGAGGTGGACACTGCCCCCGCATCCATGCCCCGCTGGTCATGTGATGGGTCCTGCACAGATGGTCTCCTTACTGATTGTCAAGTTACTTTTAAGATGGACATCTATCCACATAGGCAACCTCTCCTCAGCAGGAATGCGCAAAATCTCTTCTAACTTTATGGGCTGTGAACAGCTTCATGGTTTCAGAGGGCAGTTTTATTTTTTTTTTTAGTGCAATTAATTGATTATGCTATTAGAGTTTTCCCAATTTTTCCTCCTTTATCTCCCCTCTGCTCTGCAGCCCCCTCTTAGTTCATGTCCATGGGTTGTACATATAAGTTCTTGGACTTCTCTGTTTCCTATCCCATTCCCAACCTCCCCCTGTCTATTTTGTACCTACCATTTATGCTTCTTATTCCCTGTCCCCTTTATTCTTCCCCTCCCATTCTCCACTGAAAAACCTTCCTGTGATGTCCATTTCTCTGGTTCTGTTTCTGTTCTAGTTTGCTTAGTTTTTGTGTGTTTTTTTTTTTAGGTTCAGTTGTTGATATTTGTGAGTTTGTTGTCATTTTACTGTTCATAGTTTTTGATCTTCTATTGCTTAGATAAGTACTTTAACATTCCATATATTAAGGGCTTGGCAATGATGAACTCTTTTAACTTGACCTTATCTGGGAAGCATTTTATCTGCCCTTCCATTCTAAATGATAGCTTTGCTGGATAAAGTAATCTTGGATGTAGGTCCTTACCTTTCATGACTTCAAATACTTCTTTCCAGCCCCTGCTTGCCTTCTTTTGAGAAATCAGCTGACAGTCCTATGGGCACTCCTTTGTGGGTAACTGTCTCCTTTCCTCTTGCTGTGCTTAAGATTCTTTCCTTATCTTTAATCTTGGGTAACTTGATGATGATGTGCCTTAGTGTGTTCCCCTTTGGGTCCAATTTCTTTGGGACTCTCTGGGCTTCCTGGACTTCCTGGGAGTCTATTTCCTTTGCTAGATTGGGGAAGTTTTCCTTCATTATTTGTTCAGATAAGTTTTCAACTTTTTGCTCCTGTTCTTCTCCTTCTGACACCCCTATGATTCAGATATTGGAGTGTTTGAGGTTGTCCTGAAGGTTCCTAAGCCTCTCCTCATTTTTTTTGAATTCTTGTTTCTTCATTCTGTTCCAGTTGGATGTTTATTTCTTCCTTTTGTTCCAGATTGTTGATTTGTGTCTCGATTTCCTTCCTGTCACTGTTAGTTCCCTGAGTATTTTGCTTTATTTCATTTTGGGTAACCTTCTTCATTTGTTCCTTCATTTTGTGACCAAGCTCAATAAGTTCTGTGAGCATTCTGATTACCAGTGTTTTGAACTCTGCATCAGATAGGTTGTCTATTTCCTTGTCACTTAGCTCTTTTTCTGGAGTTTTGATCTGTTCTTTCATTTATTTCTATGTTTTGGCGCACCTGTTATGTTGTTGGGGGAGGGGCCTTAGGTATTCACCCTGGCAAGGCAACCCTCTTTGATGTGTTGTGGCACTGTCTGTGAGGGAGGGACAGAGAGGGAACAATGCAGCTCACTTGCTCCACTCGAGCCCCACTTTCCAACCAACTCTCTCCTGTGAGACTGGGAGTTTCTCCTGCTGTCACAACCCCCACAGCAGTTTACAGCTAGCTCAAGTCTTTAGTTTCCTGTTCAGCCAGCCCTGCCTCACCTGAGCTGGCCGCCACCTTGCCCCATGTCCTCTCCACTCAGCTGCCCGTCTCTGCCCCTGCTGTCCTCCTACCTGTCTGAGTGAATGTTTCTTTAATGCCTTGGTTGTTGAGTTCCATGCAGTTTGCTTTTCTGGCACTTCTGGTTGTTGATCATTTTTAGATTAGTTGTCATCCTCCTTTTGGTTGTGCGAGGAAGTGAAGTGTTTCTACCTACAACTCCATCTTGGCCAGAGCTCTGATCTCATTTTGAACGAGAGAGATGTGAACTTGCTACGCATGCTCCCCAAACTGGAGTGTGTAGGGACTTCGATGTGAGCCAAGGTACATCAGTAAATTTTAAAGAGGAAAAACAGTTTATGCTTTTATTTGCAAGTAGTCACTCCCAATTTGACTATATATAGTCTTTAGATACAGAAGGAATATATATCTTTAAATAGATCTTTAAAATGTCCAACTTTGAAGTCACCCAACAGCTCAAAGAACAGAATTAGAAAGGGCTTGGATCCCCTAAAATAGCACCGTTGATGCTAGTGTGCCGTCTGCAGGCTCCTTCCTTCACACCCTTTGGGCCCACCTCCTTCTGTCACCACTGGCTCTGCCTTACAGCCTTTGTTCCAAGGAGCTTGGAGTTGCTGTGGACACTCAATCTGTTCTTGCCCTGAAGAAAGGCCAGCACTTTCAACCCTTCTTTACCACCTTCAAGCAAATAATTTACTTGCATTCAAGAGAGAAAAATGCCTTGAGGCCAGACAGTGTAGGCTCTAATGGAAATATACTCTGATGTATCTTATGACATGGGAAATGCTTACCTCAGCTGCCATCGGCTTGTTGATGCTATTCACAAATTTGTTCACATGTTCAAAGTGTTTTGTCATCTCTGTTGCTAAGACCATGTCAATAATAGCCTGGCGCAGCGTTCGATAATGGTTCCTAAAATAACCAGAAGACAAAAGAGCCTTGTTCACATCACGTCCTGAAATAGAACTGCTCTGCTGCTGCTTCCCCACACTTCCCACACTCTGTGAGGAAGCTGGGGTTACGAAATGAGTGCAGACACCAAACAAGTTTGCCTGCTTCTCTTCCCACTAAACCAGAACTGGTTGACACTCTTCTATTTTCCCCAGTGACGGCTGACCCTTCCTCATGTGATTTATGAATATACATTAAAAAGTAACCTGTCACATGGTAGGCACTTATTTTATAAGATGACTCCTTTCTATCTTCTCTTGGCAACATCAAGACAGTGAGATGGAAGGAAATGACAAGTTCCTTCCCTATGAGGCTGGTACGTTAACCCAATGAACTGTCCTATTACATTCAGTGCAGACATAGTGATTCTTTGTATAGAGAATGGTCAGTGGGCATTTGGTTCTGTCTAAAACGTCCATGCTTTGAAAATGTCCTTGAGTTCAAATAGCCCATAACATTTATTTACACTTCTGGTTTACAGGACTAATACATAAAAAATACTAGCATGTTTTTTTTATTGGTCTAATAATTGTGTTGTGGCTGTAGCCAGTAATAACCCTTCTTACATCGGTAGCCTAGCTGGTCATGGCACATGGGGCTGGGTAGATGGGTTGGGGTTCGAACATTCCAGAAGAGCAGAGGTTATATTAGCTCCACACATTTCGGACAGGTCTGAATTTCAAGGACCTTTTGGTATGGATGTTTTGGAAAGGACCAAATGTCCTCCTTCGAGGCAGAGAATTGTCATTATTTCTTTCAGTGATGGCATTGGAAGAATGTTTTCTCAATATGGAAGAATGTTTTTTCATTAGTAAGTCTCTAAATTACAATTAGATAGAAGTTGTAATGGATGGAGCAACAGCCCTGTCCCAGATTGCTGTCCAGTTCCTATCATCTTCTAACTTCAAGGGCCAGAATGGGGACATGAATAAAATTGGCTGTTGAAACGAATTCTTTGTGAAAGTTTTAAAAACAATCGATGCTGATGAAACTTAATTTGAAGGCAGAGTAACTGTTCTCCATATTTCTCAGATTTCTAGGGACCAAACCGACAGGTTCATGTTGACAAGTGGGGCGTGAGGCTGGCTGAGCTCTGCCCTCTGCACACTGCCCTCTGCCGGGGGCCTGCCCTCCAGCCTGGCTGGTGCCATGTGGGAAGTAAGCATAGCCCGACTGCAGGGTTGTGGCAGGCAAGAGCAACTGCCCCTGTCTGATCACATTTGGCCAGCTCTCACCAGAGGAGTGTACGACAGTGAGGCAGAAACCTGCCCAGCTGTCGCCCTGCTGGGACCTGTAGAACACGGTCCTCCTGAGTGAGGATTTTAGGTGGCCACAGATCGAGCTGGGGAAAGACAGGGAAGGATATACTTTTCTTGAGTTACCCAAAAGATGGGCTCTCTTAGGAGGGTAAATATTAGTTATATAATCAATATTAGTTATATAATCAATATTTACAGAGTTGCTGTGTATAAAACATTTTCATGAACTAATTGAACACCAAATGAGACTTAAAAAGATGAAAGTCTGAAAAGAACAACTAAGTTACAAGGGCAAGGCTATTACTTTACTCTCTGATACAGTGGTACAACCTGCTGCCCCCTCCCTTTCCCCTAAGAGGACGCCAGGTACTTGGAGAAGTTAGGGATGACAGAGTATACTACTTGCACTTCACAAACCTGAGCACAGGAGGACAAGTACAACCAACCTGTCAATATTCTTGAAAATGTTGCATTTGTTGTCCTTCACCGTCAGCTGGAAGGCCAGGGCTGTGTGGTGACTCTCCAAGACGGCGGTGTCATTGTAGAGCACAGCAAGTTCACTGCCTGCGTTGCAGAGGAAAGAGTTGGTCCTTCCCGGGTGGTCCACGTCATGGACTGTGGCAGCGATCAGTGCTGCCACCTCATCCAGCTGGTCGAGGCTGCCCTGGGGTCAGGGAAGGCAAGGTGGAGTGTTACCCACCGGGTGCAAGAGAGCTTTACTCACCTTTGTCTCAGGAGGGAAGAGGCCTGCGGGGTGGGGGTTGTGAGAACGTTTTCCCCAGTCTACTGAGCCGTCTCTGACTTCCTAGAAGCGAGGAGCCTCCCTGGGACACGTTGCTGTGCTGTGACTTATCTGGAAGGATATAGTGGGTACCTAAAGCCTTTTCCCCAGAGTCCATTCACTCCACTTCTGCAGGAAGAAGCCAGATGGGCCTGTTCAGATGCCTGCCGTGTGGTGCTGCCACGTCTCTTCCGTGAGCAGAAGAGCAGACAGTGGCCTGTGGTCACAGATACTACTCGCTTGATTTGCATACTTCTGAAAAGGTTTTGAGAGTGGCAGTAAGTGGCACAGATACAACACAACCCTTCACACGAAGGTAGACCAATCAGAACCAAGCAGTATGAGGTGTGAAGAATCTTCCCAGGAAAATGAGGTGAAGGGGGTGGTTGTCAGAACAAAATTCAGCTCTTGGGCTAGCAGGTGGTAAAGGCAAAAAGGGAAACCCTCCTCCTACAGTCCTCATTATGTAATTAACTCAAGAATTAGGGGATACAAGTGTTTTCTCCACTCACAGCTTTAGGAGGATGTTATCGAGTGGGCTACTGTTACATTAGAGACTCCGTCCTGTGTGAGTTCGTTCATCTGGTAATCTGTCGATGCCCCCTGGGCACCCAGCTGCCACGCACCACACAGCAGCTGCAGTGATGCACTGTGCCGGCATCGGCTCTGCACTAGTGGAGCTCATCATCGGGGAAGGCGCAAATTAGATTAAAAAAAAAAACAAAACACCCCACACAAATAAAAGTAACACTGAGATGTGCTAATAAGGATGTTAGAGGCGCTTTGAGAATGTAGCCATGGGGCCTGATGTGGTCCAGGGCAGCGTAGCCCATTCACCTCTCTGGTGATGCACAGGTTTCTAGCTGTGCTGTCCATGCGGTAGCCCCTAGTCATGGGTGGTTACTGGGCACTTGAATTGTGAACAGTATGACTGAAGAACCAAATTTTTCAACTTCTGTAATTTTAGTTAAATGTGAATAGCCATATGTGGCTAAGGGCCAGCACGTTGGACAGCACAGGTCCAGGGCTGGGCAGGGATGGCTTCTCTAGGAAGTGCCTTCTTCCAGGAAGAAGCCTGAGGGATAAGCAGGCGTTGCCTAGGCACAAGTGGCAAGGCAGAGAATTCCAGGCAGGACAGCCTATGATGCTCCTGAGGTGAAACAAAAAAAGTGGTTTATTCACTGAAGGTTAAATAAGGGGAAAAGTGGTCCCCAAGATGAGGCTGGAGGGCTGGGCATAATAATTGATGGTCCCAAGTAGTTCTCACAGGCTAAGGGAAGAAAAACTACCCCAGTGCTAACAAGTAAGGAACAATGGGTCTGAAGCTCCTTCCTGAATGGGGACAGCAGTCAGTGCTGCTCTTCTCAGCTCTTCTCCGAGACTGGTCTGTGATGCTCAGAGCAGGCAGATGTGCCTGGTCCCTTTTTACTGCTAATCAGGAGTGGCCATGCTTCCCTGCAGGGCTGGTTGCCAACTTGGGCTCCACCCTGATTGTACCCATGCAGTGAGGACCCTTGGGGCCCTCAGCCAGTGCTCCTGGGGTAGGCTCAATCTTGCTTGGAGCCTGGGGCCAATTGTAAAATTCATCATCGAAATAGGTTCGAGTAACTGGAGTAAACACAAATAGCATTGGATGAGATCTGCCTTTCCTTCCAGTTTGCACTGACTGATTTAACCTGGCACCTTTAGAAGGTACCACTAATGGGCCACCCCCTGCAGTGTAGGGGGGCTGTCTGATAATGCAGCGTCTGACAAGACTGGGGGCAGGGGAGGAAGCCTGGGCCTGCTCCTGAGCACAGGGAGAAGCAAGGCCTCTGTGGGAGGGTGGGGCTATCTGGGGAAGAAAACTCGCCCCCTACACCCACAACAGGAGAAGTTCCAAACCCTTTGAGGGGCAGACTTTACTGCACATTTTTTCCCCTTTGACCGGCAGGAAAGATCTGGATCATACTGAGGCAAACTGGCCAGAATGAGCTCCCTTCTGGATCAGCCCTGAACAGTTCCCATCTTGGGTAAATAGTCACTTACATCAGGAGAACAGCAACGGAAGGCTGTTTTGTCCTGACCTGTCCACTTGCAGTGGTTCCTGGGAGCCGGCAGGAGTGGGCAGGGATAGGGGCCGTAACCAGTTGAAGGGCATGTTACCCAGATGGCTGGACTGAGGGTGTGGAGCTATGTCATAGGGACACTAAGAATTTTAGCCTTATTGCACAAAGAAATTAGGGGTGACACGACCCTGATAAAAACACACTTCCCTGACCCCCTTCATCAGTGGCCGAGGGTCTGGGGGAAGAGGCCTCGGGAGTGAACCCCACTTGAAGTCCCTCACATGGACTAACCAGTGACCTCGGGCTGCTGGCTACACCTCTGAGCTCAGCAGCCCCTCCCAGCTCAGTTCTCCATGGTTCCTTGCAACTTGAAATTTTCTGATTCTCTGGCAGGGGCTGCCAGAGTTAGAAAATGTCTTGCATTGTGAGTGTATTATATCTAGTCTTAAACTTGTTTCTATTGCTGCTATTTGAGAAATTCAACCAGAGTCTGAATGCATTAGCAGAACTCAGAATTTATACAAAAATTCTTATTTTAGGGGAGGGAGATTAAAGAAGATCATAAAGTGACTAAGCATGCCCTAATTTATCACACATTTACGTTTTTCTAGAGTGGCTCTGCTTAAGTGGGATTCATCTTTAACTCAAGGCTGCAGAAGGTGTAGATCACTTTGGTCTTGGGTTAAGGCCCTAGGTCCTGTCCTCAGCTGGCAGTGGGTGACCTCAGCCGTATACTGTCTATGCAGTATGAAGTGGAGGACCACAAAGCTGGAATGGAAACCTGGAAGCGTCTTAGTTCCTCAAAGATAAGTGCTATAGAAACAGGCTGGCATCGCCTGGGATCACACCTTTTTCTAAAGTAGGAGACAAAAATCTTCAAAAGCATCATTCTTGGAACACATTCTTTGCTTTCTTGCTGATGAAAGTGGATCCTAGGATTTGGCAAGGCTGAGAAGGAAATGCCCCCTCCCCATTTTGGTGCCATTCCTGTTTCCCTCTACCTGGCCCACTACAATTCTCAACTACCGGGACTGACAGCTAAAAAAGGATCGAATGCCAGGCATTTGCAGACTAATGTGGATTTCAGTCCCTCTGCAGCACTTGCCTCAGAGGTATCAATAGTCTAAGCTTCAGTTCTAATGTAGCAAAGGGATTACAAGCTTCATTGTGCAGATGATGACATTGGCAAGGAGGGGAGATGGGATCTCTTGCCAGCTGCCGATGGGGTGTGCAGAGGGCTGCCCTGTGAACCAGCACCTGTACCTGGCAGCACTGGCTTCGAAGCAAGACAAAGGGACAAGGACCTCTTTCAGAATCTCACAACAGTTGTCAATATGCAGATGCACATATCCACACCTACATAACACACACACACGTATGCAAGTCAGTATGATGCTGAAGCGCGCAGTGCTATCTGGATTATAATATACCAATGGCCAAGTTCTGGTCCTAAAACTTAACCTCTAGACCTACTAGCCATTTGCTATAATAATTAAATTCTGTCTTCTAACCCAGTTTTACAAAAGGCTCCTTGTGAACATTTGGAGAATGTGTTCGTTCATGGATCCACCAGGCATGTAAAGGACTCTTTATGGTGGCTTAGATCATTATTTTAGGCATTTGAGGGAGGGGAGAGGGAGGGGGAGGGCTAGGAGAAAAGGCTATGTCCTTGCAGCACCGAATGACCAGCCAAGTTGTAGCCAACAGCAACCACTACCACCACAAAACCTGTCAAATTGGTTTTGAAACAGCTCTTCACCTAAAATATGTACTAAGGTCGAATCCGTGGGTCTCTAGTCTAGACAAGTAACTAGGTCGTGATACCAGAATTCTACCTTCACTCGTTCCTTCCCGAGGAAGAAGGCGGTGGCGTGCAGCACGTCGGCGGCATGGGTGGAGTTGTGGTACGCGTTGGAGGAGTGGTAGTTGGCCTCGATCACTTGGAGCCAGGCCCGAAGAGTGGTTTCAGAACAGTGTAAAAACTCACAGACTCCAAACCGGGAAAAGACCTTTAAGCCCAGGTAAACCAGTGGCCTGGAAAACAGGGAAACAAACCCTGATTCATTGTACTCACTGGTCCAAAAACTGCTTTCTTTGATGACACTGAGGAATGTGGAATGGAGGTATTTTTCTTCTGATGCTTATTCCATATGTGCAGGGGCATAAAACATCTCCTCCCCCAGTTAGAAGAAGCTAGAACATCGCCTCACTAGCCACTTATTTGAAACTAGGTGCCTCGTGGTGGTCAATCCAAATGCTTTCCAGAGTTTCTCTTTGTAGTTGCCTGCAGTGGCTCTACCAACCAAGAAAGACCCCTGGTAGTTCCTCTCCATCTGCACTTCCACATACGCAGGCTCTGACTTCCTTTGTGTTCTCTGGGGTAGTTACTGAGCCTAAGGACGAAAGGAATGGTTTGTGTGGTCTCGGCCAACTCGTATCATGTAGAGTTATGTTACTTACAGGGGAGAGGCACTCACATCCTAACAGACTAACACCCCTGGAACACGTAGCCTTCTCCTGCTGTAAGAAGAGGACTTTGTGAGTTATCTAACCCTTGCCCTGCCTGCAGAACAGGAAGGAAGAGAAGCCTATGGTGCTCTCAAACTCATTGTATAAGGTGGGGCGTCAACAAGTTTGGGGCTGAGAATACTTAGAACCCTTGGCACATTAGCACAAAGGAATGACCTGGGCAGATCTGAAAAGGACTCAGTATTTCTTCATCCTGGGTCATCACCAGGCTAATCCCATGTCTTACCCACTAATACTGTCTCTCCATAAAGGAGCTCACGCAGGGGCCACGGTCTGCTCGGTCGACACTCCCCAAGCGTGGCAAGAAAGGCACAGCCTGTGAGGTCCCTTGTGGCAAGGACTCACGTCTCCCTCAAAGTTTCCCGAAGTGCAAGTCTTGAGCTTGGCCATCAGTCCTCCCTGCCTGCAGCCAGAGAAGCCACATACCTTTTATGTGTAACAGCTTCCAACTCAAAGATGTTGAACTCCCAACTTTCCTCATTATCCAGTAACTGGGCGATACAAGGGGGGACATCGTTGATGGTTATTGGCATCGCCAGGTGACTGTGACTCTGGTGCACGTCTGGGCAAACAGATGGGGCAGGGAGGCTGGTTAACAGTGGGACCTGGAGGGCCCTGGAGCATCTGTCATCACCCTCATGGCTGCTCCTGCAGAAGGAAGTCCTGAACTCCTCAGAGTAGGGAGATTTTCACTTCAGGGTGCTTCTCTTAGTATTGCTAATTTCAAGGCCCTCAAATAGAAAAATAATTGTTTGTTTAAATGTATAGAGATTTGCAGTTCTTATTCTGACAGTGTTCAGAGAAGTAAATTTCGTTAGGAGACCTGGTTTCAAGAGTAGACCATTAGAGATGCTTAAACTCTGGTGAGACGAATAGGAAGTAGCACCGAGCCACCTCCGCCCCCCCCCCCCCCCCCCGCCCTGCAACCTGCACCAAATAATCGCAGCACTGGGGATGCACAGGCCAGAGACAGGTTGTATTAACAAGTGGACAGGTGGCAACTTACTCTTAGTGAACACGTACTCATTTCCGGACAACCTTCGCAGGCCATCCTGAAATGAAGAAAGATGCTATTAGAAGCATGTTTTACATGCTGGTATAATTTTCTCATTCCTTTCGTTAGCCTAAGAGATTTGATTGCTGAATAACCCAGTCAATCTGGAACTCCAAGTTGCAGCTTGAAACGAAACCAGAACAACAGCTGTAAGACACAGGATTGTCTCCCTCCGTGGCTGCCAGCCCCGGGAGATGGAGAACTCAGGATGAGGCGTCCATGACTGCATTTAGGGCTCACACTGGGCTGTGAGTTGGCTCTATTCTCAGGCCATCTTTCTCTTCTGGCATTTGAAGGCACATTAGTGACACCACAGAAGTGAACTTGCTTTGGTTTGGATGGGTGTGATTTTGAAGTGACCCTACTTACCCTCATAGGAACTGTGTTATTCGTTTTACTTATTAGGGAGATAATGCCATGGGCCACACCTGGAAAGTCCTTAATGTAAAGCCTTAAAAAGTTTGAGGCTTTTGACTAAATTTTGACTAATATCTAACTTTTCCCAACTTTTCTGTTTTATAATATAAGCATTGTTGTTAGCATTTAAAAGAAAAGCTTCTGGGTTTGAGATCTTTGGAGGGGCAGCACAAGGGACAGAATTCCAACGTTCTGGCATTTACTAGGCTCTTGAACTTGAACTAGCCCCCAGATATTCTTGCATCTCAGTTCCCTTCCCTTCATTTTCTATCCCCAAGTACCTGATTTCTTAAGATCTTTTTTTAATTGTTTGTATAATTTGTCATGGTTTGCCATCCCTAGAAAGTGTTCCCCTTAAGCCACACCTTGGATCTCTACTAATTTTTACAGCTGAACGAGAGAGAAGTCAACAATGGGCACAACTGCCCTGCCTCTAAGGCAGACCTCACAGGGGCTCCGCTGTGTTTTCTTTGCCATTCTGTCTTCTCTTCCAGCATTACGTGGAGAGGAGCCCCAGGATGGCATGGCGGTGGGAGGAGGAGGACAGGTAACTTGTTCCAGGAACCGGAACCCTTCTGCTGCAGCTCTGCAGTGGCCGCCTTCCTGAAAGACCCTGGCCTGCGCTCTCTCTAACTGAAGCCCACGCTGCACTGGGATGGGGCAACCAAGGCCGGCCCAGGGCAGGCAGGGAACAGGAGGTCCCTCAGATTATAGGCTCATCAGACACCTTCAGTAGGAACAAAGAGAATGGATCAGAAAGCCAGTCCCCACTCAGCATTTGGTGGCCGGGCTAGACAACAGCCTTTAAAATAAAACTCATAGATGACTCTCAGACTTTGTTTTTCTCTCAGAGAATTCTTCCAGCTTCAGCCTCTGATAAGGAACACAAATGAATCATTCAACTTTTCTTCTTTTTCTTCACTTGCTGATAGATAATGATCACAGCCAAACAGATCACAGTAAAACACTAGAACAGGGTGAGCCCTTGGACACCAGCCACGGTTGGTGGTGGCAAGTGCAGGTGTCTTCTGAGTGCTGGATGGGGGCGGGGCAGGGGGCTCCTGCCCCTGGCCCCCACCAAGCCAAGGCACCTCCACTCTGCTTTTAGACTATTCTCAAGGGGTCTTCTATATAAGCTTTTATTTAAAGAAAGGATTCTACAGCTAAGATTTTGGGAACTAGTGCTGTAGCCCAAATACAAATCCTTCCAATTATATAAAGAGCCTCAGGTCAGAGGAAACCTAGCCATAACCTCAATCTAAGACTGTGCCTACCAGGTCAAGGGGATGAAGTGAACAAGGCCCCATTGTGCACATTTGCCCTCGATCAGCTTGCCTCTGAACTCCGTACCGTACACGAATTCTGAAGGGGGCGCTGTCTCCCACTGCTGTGGTCAGTCAGCTTTACAGGAGTTAAATGCAAGAATTCCTTGCATAATACCACAGCCATAAATTTTGGTGCATATGCTTCTGGTTATGCTGATGTTCACCCTCATGATAGGTATTTCTGTAATTACAGGTAACAGTGCATGTTACATGTTATGTGTAGCCTAGCACATGTTTAATGTCCCCAGCATTTCTGGTTTTTCCTCATCACTCACAGTCATCAGGCCTCCGACGAGATCGCTGGTGTGAGGATCTTCATCTTTGGTACCCAGCTGAGGGGAGTACAATTCCGTGGTCCGTAAAATTTCTAAAACTCTGTCCAAGGCTTCCGCTACTGTGACGGGGCTGTTTTCTTGGGCCGCATTGATTATATTTATAACCTAAGGAGGTAAAGAAAGAAAAAAATGGAGAACATAGGATTCTACTTCCTGTGTATATAACACCTGGAATCCAAAAGAAATCAGACGATAACACGTTGACCAGAGTGCCCAGGGCCGTCACGGCACTCCCTTCTCCGGCTCCCCAATTACACCTCCTCAGCTCCTCCGCTGCTCCGGGGTGGAGTGCCTTTTTCTCACTCCCCAGGCCTTCCAGGGATGAGCTCGTTCATTTCCGTGACTTTGGACAAGACTCTCAAATCCACACCCCAGCTCTGACCTCTTGTTGACCTCCAGACTTGTGCATTCAGTTGCCTGCCTGACATACATGTTGGAGTATCTTACGTACATGTCCCAAACCAAACTCCTGGTCTCGCTCCCCTCTCCCCAAAGCCAGCGAGCGAACATAACCAAAACACGGAAGACAAGGAGATCTGCCGCTTCCTCTGGTTTCCACACCGTGATAAAAAAGGCACCTCTATCCACGCGCAAACTCAAGTCTGAGAGGCCCTGGTTTGCACGTCACTTTCCCTCCGTTCTCTCCCCAGCCTGACGATACAATGAATCACCAAGTCACATTGATTCCACCTTAAATATTTCCTGATCTGCTCATTTCTCTCCATCTTCCCTGCTATAATTCTAGTACAGCTAACACCATTTCTTGCCTGACATTCTGGAAAACCCCCCTAACTGGCCTCTTCACATTCACCCTTGTCATCTCCAATCCACTGTCTGCATAACTGATCATGTCCCTCCCCGCTTTCAGCCCCTCAGTGGTTTCCACTACACACAGACTAAAATATAAACTCCTTCTTGTGGCCAATGGGCCAGAATGAGTTGCGCCCTGCACAGCTGCATGCCGCTGTCCCCCCTCTGTCTCCGAGCTCCACTCCCCCTTCCCCACCCCAGTGCTCCCTCCCTTACTGTGCCTGCTGCCTGGAATACTCTTCCCCCATCTCCTCTATCTTCGCATGCTTTGCATCCTATGTCAAACACTGCTTCCTCTACGGAGACACCCTCCCTCCCACACACCCCAAACAGGGCCTCATCTAATTTCCTCTCATAAACCCTGTTTTCCTCTATAGAAGTTATTGCAATTTATAATTACATATCATTGTGTTTGTTTAATATCTGTTTCCTCTACTAGACAGTAAACTCGCTGATGTCAATAGTATGTCATTTATCATTTTATCTCCAAAACATAGCCCAGTGCTGGGTGACCCTGATTGTAAAGTAGAGGCAGCAGCTGCCACTCACCTTCGTGATGGGCGCCTCGATGGTCATGGAGTGGATCCTGGCCATAGACGGATAGCGGCGGTTCTGGAGGCTCGGTGCTGGAGAGAAGACAAGAAAGGTGTACCTGGTGTTGGTGGCTCAGCGTGGCTAAGTGCAGCAAAGGAGCCTGTCACAGACCAGGGGCCTGCTTCTCAAAGGAGTGAATTCACCCGTCTATCAATCCTAACAGGCTCAGCGCATGGTTACTACTGGCCAGAGTTTGGAAAGCATGTTCTGGCCTGGAACTTTGGTGGCAGGATGCCGTCCCAAGTCCACCAGGGAAATTTCAGGGAAGGCTGATGGGATCCCGAGACCCCATCCCAACAGCCTAATCACCCCGCAGGACTTACTTCCCCATAAGTCACTGCAGCCCATCGTGGGCAGTTCCATCACTTTCAGCCCTTAGCCACTGGCCATGTAACTGGATACCTGTACAGTGTGGGAGGGGAGGCGCAGTCCAGGTCGGGGGTGGGCAGAAGAATGAACACACGCTCAGTATGATTTAGGGCCAGGCACTCACATCGCTGAGCCGTTCTTCACACCCAGAACCCATGGTGGCTCTAGCTCTAATCTGTAGCAACTTTCATTTTAAAATAACTTTATTTTTTTGAACAGGTAATGCTTACATGGGACTCAAAATTCAAAAGGTGGAAGCTTTATTTTAAAAGCACTGTTCTCATCAGATCTTCCTCCCTCTCCCTGTGAGGCAGGTGGGAGGGACAGAACCTGTGTGGTACAGGGGGGATCGCGTAATCTAGCCACACCAGCAAAGCCGGCCTGCTGCCCAGATGTCCTTGTGGTCCCTCTGCTGCCAGAGCAGCCACACTGCACACCTGTGCTCTTTGCCCTGCACATCCCCGTGCTCTGTGGGGGTGACGATCACCACGCAAACTGCTATGAAAACTGAGCTCATCTGGTTGCAGTCCCCTCAGTCGTCATCCTCCCCATCTAACATGTTGTATACCTGCACCCTCCAGCCACCTGAAGGTGTTTCAGCCCACCCCCCTTACATGCCCTGTCCTTTTTCCCTCCCCTCTGTGAGCTGTCCATCTTCTCTTCAGAGTCTTTGGCTCGTGCTAGTTCAGCCACTTCCCTCATACTCAGCTGCCCGTTGTGCCCCGAGGGACTGGCAAGTCCTTCCCTTGCCCTTCCTATTCATCCTCTTAGGTCACTGCCCCAGTTCTCTCCTTTCTGTCAGCCACTAACCATCCCCTCCTCATACATAGAATTTGTCCTCATTTGCCAAATAAAAAACAACTGAATGAGTGAATACCACGAGTCTGTTCTCAGCTCTGAAGCTCTCTGATCTCCGCAGCATCTGACACTGCTAGCCCTTTCCTTTCTTTTGCTGCCCTCTTGCTCTTGGTTCACGTGACTCTGTATCCACAGGGCTCACCCCCGCTCCCTGGTCCTCCTCTTTGGCCCTAGTTCTCACTGAGGGTGTACTTTCAGGCCTTGGACTCAGACCCTATTTTTCATTACATACCCGCCCAGAGATGTTTCTCTGCTCATCTGTGACTTCCAGGACTCCCCAGCCCACCTCTCCGGCCCGAGTACCCGCCTCGCATTTTAGCTTCCTTGGCGCCTCCACAAAAACAAAGTTTATCATCTCCTTGGCCCCCACCCAGCCGCACGTGGAGACATGGCTATTTCTGTACACAGTGCCTATAGCTTTTGGGCACGGAGGGATGACATTTCAGAATCATCTTTGACTTTCCCCTCTCCCTGCAAATCCAGTGGATGGGTTAGGCCTGACTGAACTCAGAACATGTTTTGCTCAGTCCTGTCTCATGATTTACCTGCGACATTTTATTAAGGGAAAGTAAGGGCGTGTGACAGGAACACTGACGACTGGGCTTCTGAAGGAGTTGGGAAGGCACGGTTCTGGCCCCCTCCCTGCTGCCAGCACCCAACAGTGACCGAGCCACTGGAACTAAGCTGCTCTGGTGGCTGTGGCCCAGAGCACTTCGGGCCACCCAGGAGCAAGCCTCAAGTCATTTCAAGGAGAAGACGAAGACTAAAAAGTAAACAAATAAGTAAAAGAATGGAAAGGCCTAAAAAATCTACTGCCTCTGAGGGTAAAGGCTAGTTCAGTTGAAATCCCATTCTTTGGGGTTTGATTTATATGCTGGCAAATTCTTTAATATATTCTTCTGTCATTTTCTACACTTTAAAAGGTCAAGAAAGTCTGAAAAACTTCTTACCATCACTGCCTCGAGATGATATTGATTTCACATCGATGGACTCTCTCCTCCTGTTCTTGTATCTGAGTGAATGGGACTCTAGGAGTTCAGATGAGTAATGGGAAGTGATTAGTTATCAGCTTGTTCACAGGTGAAGTTTGGACACATTCTTCCCCTCTTCCTCCAAAGAAAACAAGGATACTGCTCACACACTATAAAATATTCCTAAGAAACAGGAAACTACTTTCTCTTCAGCTGATCACCGCGCACAGACTTCTAGTCACCTCGGTTGTACAGGGGTGCCCTTCTCCTGTGGCACCTGCTGCACCATGGGATTGGGGCTTATGGCCAAGGCTTATTTAGTTCCATTAATAAACTTTTCAAAAATAAATATGAAAACTTAGGGGAAATTTTGGGGGGTTCATTTTGACCTGAAGTACAAATACATTTAACTGAATGAAGGAGGCTCTAATGGTATTTGAGGAAATAAAGTACTAGTGAAACCCACAGAGAGTTGAATTTACTTGAGGAACTAATTTGGACCAGTTTTAGACCTCTCCACAAAGTCAGACCTCTGCATGGCCTTGCAGGCTCTCCTGAGGGTGTGATTTCATCAAGCGATGCAGACTGCCCACCCCAGGAAGGAAGAGAAGAAAAAGCAGTTTTATACTCGAACAATTTCCAACAACTAAACTCCCATTTTTGTTTCCATTTTATGAGGGGCAGAAGCACTTCAAATTCTATGTAAGTCTTCGCAGGCTTTGAATTTAACACTCAGAATGTGCTGGCACATTAGGCGAGATCTAAGCCGCACACGGTGCATGCCACCAGTGAAGACCAAGGGACAGAAATGCCCCGGGCTGCAGAGCTGGCTCCAGACACATGCACTTTCAGGGCGTTTGCTTCTTGTGGGAGCCACGCATGAGCAGGGAGAGGAACTTAGCTGGAAGACAGTTGCTCCTTCCTGTGCTAAGACGGGAGGCAGACATGCAGGTTCCAGCAGGAGAGTGCGTTTCTCAGACACCAGTAAATGGTATTTCAAGAGAGAAAGAGAAGTTCTTGTCTAGTGACACCCAAAAAGGTAGAAGACAGTGTAGTAGTTAAGAGGATCAGCTCCAGAGCCACACCGCCCAAATTCAAGTCTCCACTCTCCGTCTAGTAGCTGCGTAACCTGGGCAATGTTACTTCCAGTGTCTCAGTAACCACGTCTGCCCAGGGAGGAAAGCTGGCGCATCTCATCTGCACGCTGCTGTGGGATGGAAACAAGTTACTCCGTGGACAGCACTTAGAACAGTGCCTGCTAAGCATGTGGCTCTTGTTGGCTATTATTATTGAGCTGTTCATTTGCATATAGACCTTCTTTTTAGGCACACATGGGATATTGTTATAATGTTCTTCTACTTGCTGTTCTCAGTTCAGGATATGTTTTAGACACATTTCTAGATCACCTTTTTTTAACCATTTACTTTAGTGTCCTAAAAAATCTGATTCAATTAAAAAGGTTAAATCAGTAACTAAACATAAATTATACATGTATTTTTACAGTATGCTATTACTGTAAAGTATACGGCAGAAATTCCTACATTTAAAGGCAGAACTCTCATAAAATTAATCTGAACACTAGAGCCATAGAGGCGTGCCTTAAATGATCTAACTTAAATGTTTGCTATCCTTTTGCCTGATCTTGTCTCCAGACTCGGTCTTAATAATTTTTCTAGCCTTGGATATGAATTTCAGTATTTCTTTATTAAAAAACTACAGGTAGTGGCACTTTAAATCACATTGTTGGGACCACAGGGCAGCTTTCAAACCCTCAGAAACTAACAGCGGTCACCCATTTTTAGACTATTCAGGGACTTAATAATCAGGTACATTCCTAACATCTGTTTACCAGAAAATAATTAAGTTGAATTTATTGAAGATTCAAGGTTAAATTCAGGATTAAAGAACACAGGAATTCCTCAAAATGTTTCTCAATAAAACAAAAGTAGGGAGGTTAGTTTCACAGCTGGTGGCCCGGGTCATCTTATTGAATTCTAACTTATTCACTAGAAATCATGCAAAGATGGATACTGATTATTCCTCCTGATTTTATCTCCATTGAAATTAAGAGAAATTATGGCAAGAGAAATGATTTAAAGTTCCAAGAATTATTCTTCAATAAAGGTCATTTAAATCAAAGAATTCATTATTCATTCCCTTAACAGATGCTTGTGGAATGAATTTAAAAACCAGGAAAAAGAAGGATAAAGGTGTTTTAAATAGCTATGCTCAATGGCAGAACAGACACAGAGTCACCAACTGAAACACAGCTACCATGTGCTGAGTGCCGCCGTGCAGCAGACACTCTGTTTTAACACTCACTTCACAGGGATGGCGTATTTGATCACCGCAACAGTTCCAAAAGCTACTTAGTACAATCCCAGTTTTACCGATGAGGAAGTTTAAACTTGGAGAGATTACTCAGGTAGCTCAAGGTCAAAGAGCTAATGAACAGTAGAACCTGTGCTTTCCAAGATGGGATGGCTTCAAGTGATCAATGTTTTGTGAGTATTTATTGAGCGTCTATTATGTGCAAGGCAATCCTGGGCACTTTCAAGGATATAAAAATGCTTGTAACAGGTCTTGGCACCCAGAAGGCCTTAAGTGAGTAAAAATAATAGTCTTTCTGTAAATGTTAAAAGAAATAAACCACAACCACTGAGAGAGAGGAGATAGGTGGGGAGGGGAGGAGAAAGCTAAATAGTTAAATACTCAGTACTGCTAGATATGACGTACATTTTCTCCTTGAATCCTCATAACAGCAAGATGGGCACTGTTAATTCCATCTTGTTGTAAAATTGTTAGTCTTGCAAATGAAGATCAGAAAGAGCAAATGAAGTCTTTCTGAGTAGGTTAAAGTGTGGTCCATCCTGGAATCAAGGAGAAGGACTAAACAATAGCCCAGGATCCGACTTACGCATTAATGGCTGGAAGGCCACTAATGGGGGTGCGGAGGGGTGGAGAATGTGTTGTGTGTGTGCAAGAACAAGAATTTTATATCTTTGGTAGTAGACCAATTTTTTCCCTGTAATGATCATAGAATTCCAGACCTTTCAGATGTAGAAGTCATCATTTTATGGCTGAGGAAACCAAGGGTCAGACGGGCAAGAGTCTTGCCCAAGGAATGAGGCAAGGGAGCGGGCAGCAGAAATGGTGACTTGGTAGTGCTCCTGACTCCCAGGCCAGGGTCCACCCACGTTTTCTAACCGAATAGTCACTGGCTGCTGCCAAGAAAGGGAAGGCTGATCATGATCGAACAACGCGCCTCCCCTGGACTGCCGGGCCACTCTCCGTCTTAGGTTTTTCTGTGCTACGTGGTCCCTAGCCAGCAAAAGAAAACCAGAAAGGGGTGGCATTAGGTAGAAAAGGCTGCCATGTAGGAATATTAAAAAAATGTGAAGGGATTCTGCCTTTATTCTGGCTTTCCAACCTTCTGATACCAGCCCTCGGATTTCAGCGATCCCAGTTCTGGGGTGGTGGTGTGCAATCCAGACTTCCTCGGAGAAACTCACAGACATGGACCCACAGATGCGCCTGGGTGTATGAGAGTGAAACTGAAGTGTTCTCACCTGTCTGAGAATTGTCTCCTGAATCACGATGAATCTTGTGAATCTAAAGTTGTTTGAAAGTTTGGTAAAACAAGAGAAAGAGATTTAAATATAGTATAAACTACATTTGCAGCCAAACAATTTCATTAAAAAGCTCTGAAGACTTCGAGATAGTGAGAAGTTGCACAGGTGATGTGAACAGGTGAAAGATGTGCACCAACTGACACTATCACAAATGTTCTGGTAACTCCACGCCCTTACAGAAGGGCGGGGCCCGAGAGCAGGAGGCGTCAGAGAACACATTTTCTAAGCAGGACATCTAAATTCTCAGTCAGCTGTTCTCATTTTGACAGTCTGCAGAAATGCATAAAGACAAAAAGCTCTAACAAAAAATTAAGATTTTTATAAGGCTAACATATAACCTGTTTATATTTCATTACATATTATAAAATATATCTGTAATATAAAAGTAATACAAATTTAAGCCTAGCTTTTCTAGAAGGTTTTCCCACAAAGCTCTTCGAATGCTCTGTTACTGACCAGGCCAATTTACATGTTTCTTCACAACAAGATCTGAACTTGAGACGCAATTTAGCACCTAGTTCTTTCTCATTATCAAAATTTTTTGTGCTGGTGACTTTGTGCTAATGCTCAACAGATGAAGTAATTAACACTGGGAATGATAAACTTGCTTTCTTTGTGGTTCTGCATTTCTTGTGTTTACGACGGACTGAGACTCTGCCCCCGGGGCACACGCAGCTCTGTCACGCTATGATCGTGCTGCCCTCCTGCGAAATCCATCTACTTCTAGCAGCTCAGCCCATCAAACACCTGCAGCCACCCAGTGAATGGGACACGTTAACTCGAAGAACAAGACAGGGGGGTGTGTAGGACCGGCCACGAAGGACGACCAGGATGGTTTAGCAACACAACCGTGGAGCCAGAAATCCCCTATGTATCAGAGACAGGTCAAGCGTTCCAGCTTGACTAAACCACTGAAACATAATCATGTAAAATTGAAGTGTTAAGAGAAGGGTTTTCTATGAATTATTCTGCACAGCCCAGTCCGCGTAATTACCAAAACAATTACATGGCCAGCCTGTGTGAGATCTTGGTCTTAATTTGACTAAGGGCTGTGACTCATTTATCCCATAATTATGGGATCTTTTTATTTCTTCTGTGAACAACTGCTCTGTTTTTCCTTTGTAGATAAAGACCATTTGCTACAAGGCTACTGAGTGCAATGTGACTTCTTCATCCACATCAAATGAATACAACTTTTGCCTTGCAAATTGTTCCTCTATCAGCTTTAGTACAAAAGCAAGTGATCTTTAAATATGTAGCTTTACTCTCTGAATCATGGTGCATCTCTCCTTTAGGAACAGAGCCCCATGGCTCACCGGATCCACACAAAGAAACCTTTCCACGTAGTTCATGGGCTCCCACAGGCCCATGATTGAACCGTGGAGCTCCTGGAAGGTCAACTTGGGCTTGTGTGCTGTCCAGAGGGAGCCAGAGGAAGCCCAAGGTCCAGTAGATGCACAGCCAAACCCCGTCTTTGGGATGAAAATGAACTCTGACTCCCTGCCCACCTCAGGAAGGCTGGGGAGGTGAGTAGAAGGAACAGGGAGGAGGGAGAGGAGAGGTACCAGTCCATCCACTGAGGAGGCTCTGGTCTTTCTCCACCGAGAATGCCAAATTTTGCATTTTCTGAGCTGAACACACAGCACCCACTTCAACCCTGCCACCCCCAAATTGGCTCACCTTCCTCTGATGGACTATCTCCTACAGACAGCACAGGGACTAGAAATATTTGACCAACCAACCGAACGACCATCACCTGCTTTTCACTAGCAGAGGTGTGTGGGCTGTCTTGGCCTCTGCTACCCGCAGAAGACACTGCCCGGGACCCTGTTCCGCGACTCACTCTGTGATCCTCTTGGCAAGAGCAGCTCCTGAGTGCCTGCCCCTCACACCCCACAGCGCTGGGTTGTTACCGAAGCTTCCTGACTCGGGCTATCTGTGTGCCTCTTCTGAATGCCTTGTACAGCAAAAGATTCACTTGGATCAAAAAATGACTTTAGAATTACTTTTTTTTCTTTGAGGTCTAAATCCACCAGCCATTTATAACTTGGTATGAATGATTCTGATATATGATCCTTGGTGTGCGGGGTCTGACGTAGCAGGCAGTTAGACAGACACGAGCAGACTCGGAACGACAGGCCAGGGACAGAAGGCCACGAGGGTGGAAAGCCCTGGGTGCGTAGCAGCAGGCAGAACTGGGGACATAAGTATTGTAGGACGGGGCCTCACCCCAAGGGTGACCTTTTATCCCCTAGTATATCGCTGTCATGTGGTTTGGGCCCTTCTCTGACCTTTCCTTCCCTGGCGTGTCACTAGTCAAGTGGTAGACCCCCTAGAGGACAGGCAAGGGGGCTGGAGAACTGCCTCATATGACTCCCTTGCATGCCCACTCCCTTAAGCATTCAGGACAAAGCAAAGGTTCTGACCTGCATCAAATCATCTTGGGAACAAAGCCTCAGGTCTGCTGACCACAGAGACAGAGGTTTGGTCAAACTAGAGACAACATCCAGGCCTCAGTTGTGTTGCAGCTCCAGGCCCAGAAAGCAGCAAAATCACACAGAGAAATGCCACAGCCAACAGTAGGACCCCCTGCCCTGGCACCGACCAGTCAGTGGAGACATAACCCTGAAAGGACACACCTGGAAAGCTGAGGAATATTCCTTTGAGATCCTCTCCTGAAACATCCCCTAAAATCCCTGCCTTTAGAAAACAGATAAAACACCTTAAGACGAAGGGCCCAGCATATTCTCTCTCTCTCTCTCTCCCTCTCCTTGCTCTTTCCTTCCCCCTTACTTCCCTCAAGGCTCATACCTTTGCTTTCTTTTTCCTAAGCTCAAGGGTCCTTATTTTGCTTCTGTAACTTGTTTCCTGAGCCCATGCAGCCCAGTTGGCTCACTTCTACTACCTCTGTAACTTTCTGAACAAACTGTTGCTTATATTTGAGTCTTGGCTCTGAATTCTTTCTTAGCCAAAAGTCAAGGACTGAGGTCTAATATCTGGTGCCATTCAGTGTTAACAATTCCACTAATATTATTTTCTCATAATTCTCTTTCAAGCTCACTGGGGACATACGCAGGAAATGAGGGGCTGTGTAGTTGGGCCTTCTCGAGTGGGCAGCCTAGGGGAGGCTCATAGGTCTGAAGACTGCGGGGGCAGGAGGAGAGAGGGACCAGCTCTCCCCGTGACAACAGCAGCCATCTCTCAGATGAGTGCCCTGTGCTAGCAGCTCTAGATTTGCAACCTAGTCATTCCAACACCCTCCCAAGGGAGGAAGGGTGATCCTTCCTCTGACAGAGAGGGAAACTGAGGTTTTGAGAGGTTAAGGGACTTGCCTAAGCCACACAGCTAGTGTGCAGCAGAGCACAATTCCAAACCAGGCTTCCTCTAGCTCCCAAACTGGTTCCTGTTTGTCACACTGCTCTCTACAGTGAGGCCCAGAAGGGAAGTCCCAGGCCAAGGCTCGTTATACAAGGATGTGAGGACAATATCCCCTGGTCAGTGCAGGGCACCTGTTTGAAACATGATTTTCTTTCAAGTTTTGGGTAAGGTATGAATCTCTGCTCTCAATAGGTTTTGTGACATGCATTCTAAAGCAAAACAAAAAATTGGAATTCAGTGTTCCCATGCCAACTAGTCTCTCTGGAGTGCAGTGGTTTTGTTGCTTTTCCTTTTGTGAAAAAAGCTTAAAGTGCAGGCCATGGCCATGTATAGTAAGTTATATACTATGTGTCCCAGGGGGACCCACACGCAGAGCACCGAGTTTCTGCGATGTGAACACCGGCACCCTTGGGCTGGGATGCTCTCACTGGAGCTCAAAGCAAGTCCTTGGAAGCTAACAGCTTGTTTTTGGAAAGCAAATTCATAGCTTTAAGCCTTTAATTACTTACAATACTATTGCTTCCCACAAACATTGCTGTCCTTGTGCTGCACACTTTGTGTACTTGATCAGGCTTGGCTCCAAAAAGCACTACAAACTCTGTGTGTGTGTGTGTGTGTGTGTGTGTGTGTGTGTGTGTGTGTGACTTCAGGGTCATCTGGTTGTTTCCCTCGTAGAGAATAATAATGGAAAACGTATACTTTCTCTACACATCCACTAGAATGTCTGAAACTGAGGAGAAATCTTGTCAAAGGTGTGGAACAACTGAAGGGAGTATGAAATTGTACAACCGTTATGAAAAGGGGTCTTGCGGTTTCCTATAAAATGGAACACAGACCTGGCCTATGACCCCACCCTCAGCATTCAGTCCCTCTTCTGAGCCTTTGCCCAAGACAAACAGATGTGCATGTTCACTAAACACTTGTCTAACGAACGTTCACAGGAGCCCCAAACCATACAGCCCAGATGTCCGTCAACAAGAGAAATACGTGAGTAGACTGATGCGATGGGATACTGTTCATCAATAAAAAAAGAAAAACTACTGACAACTACAACAGGGATGGCTCTCAAAACATGATGACGATGAACAAAATAATGAACAAGCAAAACTGTAACAGACTCACAAACACAGAGAGCGAGCAGCTGGCTGCCAGTGGGGATGGGGGTTGGGGCACTGGGCAAAAGAGATGGCGAAGGGAGTGAGAAGTACAGGTGGGCAGTTACAGAACAGTCACGGGATGTGGGAAGCATTGGGAAGAGAGTCACTGATACTGCGATAACTACATATGGTGTCCGCTGGGCACTGGAAATATTGAGAGCCCTTTGTAAAGTATGTGTACACCTGAAACCAAAATAAAATTGAACCCCCCAAAAAAAACATTATGATGAGTGAAGCCAAACACAAAAGAGTAGACACTATGCAGCTCCGAACAGGCAACACTGACATGTGGTTAAATACCTCAGAACGGCGTTACCTGCGTGCTGTGGCGGGGGGGATAGGAGTGGAGGCAGGGAGGACTGGGAAGTTTGGGGATGCTGAGGCTTGGTATCTTCAAGGGGTCTGAGTTTCAGGGTACATGCATTTGTCAAAACTCAAGAAATGC